TTTGAAGAGGGTGTGACACTTCATTTGAATAAACTTGAATTCCCTCAACCAAAGGATACTGTGTGGTAAGTTTGGTTGAAATTAGCTTAGTGGTTTTTGAGAAGAAGATGAAAATGTGAAAAGTTTACGACGGCGACGAAAGACAAATTTTGATCAGAAAAGCTCACTTGTGGAAAAAGAATTACGGGCGGGGGAGGTGGTTCTTATATACTGTAAGCCTCATCTCTTCTCAATCTAAAGTTATCAGGAAAAAATGAACATTATTGAAAAGTAGGTCAAACTTCAAGGTCACAAGATCAAAAATTATAGTGTATTTAGAAAGGTCTTGTCACAGGTAATACACATATTTAATATGAAAGCTCTTCTCATTCAAAAGTCATGTTCAAGGTTAAAGTTTTTGAGAAGTAGGTCAAACTTCAAGGTCAAGGTAACGAGGTCGTAAATCATACTGTATTTAGAAAGGTCTTGTTACATGTAATACACTTATTCAATGTAAAAATACTATCTATTCTCATTCAAAATATAATCCCAATTCAAAGTTATGTTTTAGTTTTTTAAATTTCCTTCAGTGGTATGAGAGGAGTTCAAAGAGATCAAAAGCAAGGAAATACCGATTACTATATACCCTCCCGCTTTTCAAGCGGGGGGTATAAATATAATCCCAATTCAAAGTTATGTTTTAGTTTTTTAAAAGAAGGTCAAACTCCAAGGTCACGGGGTCAAATATCGTTGTGTAATTTGAAAGGTCTTGTCACAGGCATACACATGTATAACATGAAAGCCGTATCTCTTCTCATTCAAAAGAAACGATGTATGACCAAGGTTAAAGTTTTTTATGACAGACTGACAGACGAATGAGATTTACATGTAATGTCCACTCGTTTTCACGGAAGCGGGGAACAAAAATTTAATTGGCGCGCATTGCCAACCAAACACGTTTGCTGCGTTTGTTTGTGTTGTGTGTTTATTATACCCCCCGCTTGAAAAGTGGGAGGGTATATAGTAATCGTTAATCCGTCCGTCTGTACGTCCGTCCGTCCGTCCGTCTGTCCTTCCGTCCGTCTGTTACGCTTTGGGGTACCCATCTCTTATCCGCAACTCCTCTCATACCACTGAATGAAATTTGATGAAACTTTCACAAAATCTTTATTACATATTGCCATTGTGCACCTCCTATTTTACTTTTTGATCCGACACATATTTTGGGTTTTCCGGCCACAGCAAAACATGGACTTTGCCATTAAAACTACTAGTATATGGAGGCGGGGGTATCATTTAGTGAGCTCATCGCTCACAGTACCTCTAGTTTTGTTGTATGTCTTGTGTGGATGTTTTGGGAGATCGTTTATTAATTTGAATGTTTAATTTTTCTGCACTCATATTTGTCAAGTGCATAACTTGTCACAAGATATTTCCGAGCATGCTATGATTTCTGACCCCTTGACCTTGACGATTGACCTAATTTTAAAAAAATCAACTTTAATGATAACATCTTAATGACATATGATAGGGTATTCATATTTGACACAATATATATCACAAACTAGAGGTACTGTGAGCAAAGAACTCGCTAAATGATACCACCGTCTCCCATATGAATATAATGGCAGTGTCCATGTATTGCTATGGGAAACCCAAAATATGTGTCGGAACAAAAAGTAAAATATGAGGTGCACAATGGCAATATGTAATAAATATTCTGTGAAAGTCTCATCAAATTCCATTCGGTGGTATGAGAGGAGCTAAAATATGACAGGTGCACGATTTATTATTATACTTCTGTTAAAACGTTTCCTATATAAAATTCAGAAGGTAAAATAACTATTCGTCATAGTCTGAAAATTTCCCCGCATAGAAAGCTATACCCCGGGGTATAGTATACACTTATCCAATGGTTGTGAGTGGGATAGCTCTTTTATCAAACCCGCGACAGGGAACTATTCCCCGAGGGCTTGCCCGAGGGGAATAGTACCTGTCAAGGGTTTGATGAAAGAGCTATCCCACTCACAAGCAGTGGATAAGTGTTTTATTATACTGATGTATATGATAATTTCTAAGGTTTGAATTTTCTTTGGAATTAGATAATACTGCAAGAATGAGCCGAAATCCTGATAACGTCACAATGCTACTGAAGTCATTATGACATCATCAGACTATGGATTTAACGCTGGAAATTAAAATTGGCGGCAAAAATTGCATGAAAATATTCCGAGGGATGGGTAGCAAAAACTATACCCCGGGGTATAGCTTTCTATGCGGGGAAATTTTCAGACTATGACGAATAGTTATTTTACCTTCTGAACTTTATATAGGAAACGTTTTAACAGAAGTATAATAATTTTTGTTACCCACCGCTCGGAATATTTTCATGCAATTTTTGCCGCCAATTTTCATTTCCAGCGTTAAATCCATAGTCTGATGATGTCATAATGACTTCAGTAGCATTGTGACGTTATCAGGATTTCGGCTCATTCTTGCAGTATTAATAATTCCAAAGAAAATTCAAATAGAAATTATCATATACATCAGTATAATATCCAAGACACCTTTCATCAAAAAGTATTCTTTTAATTTCCCGCTTTTCAAGCAGGAGTATAATAATGATATCTCACCCATAAAGACACCAAAAGTATTCTTTTAATTTGCTTGTAAATTTCCGTTTGATATATGCTCCCGCAATACAAAAGTCATGATATTAGGCTGGGAAGTTTTTAAAAGAAAATATGATGTAACTAGATTACAATTTCAACGTGCATTTTAACATAGCTGGTCTTTATGCTATTCCATATACTACAGCCATATCATTGCTTACTGCCAACTGCCTGTTTATTATTATTATACCCCCCGCTTGAAAAGCGGGAGGGTATATATAGTAATCGTTGATTCAGTCCGTCTGTATGTCCGTCCGTTACGCTTTGGGGTACCCATCTCTTACTCCTCTTATACTAATCACTGAAATTTAATGAAACTTTCACAGAATCTTTATTACATATTCCCATTGTGCACCTCCTATTTTACTTTTTTATTCGACAGGTATTTTAGGTTTCCCATAGCAAAACACGGACATTGCCATTATATTCTATTTTATATCCTATGACGTCACCTATAGAAGCTTCTGGATAACATTTGATAAGACGAGTCATGTCCTTAAATCAATATATAGCAACACTTGGACATTATTGGAGGCGGGGGTATCATTTAGTGAGCTCATTGCTCACAGTACCTCTAGTTATCTTTAAGGTAGTCCGATCCACAGGTTTATAAAGTTAGCAGTTAAGTAATCAAAAATACTCATAAAAGTATCTCTGAATCCACAAAGTTAGGTAAATTCATCCACAGTATTTCTTTAAAGTTGAAGATTAAAGTTAATCATATCATATAGGGAAAATTGTCGAATTTCCAATATTTTTGCAGAAAAAGCGAATTGTAATATCAGTCATGCATTTTCTAATTGTAAATTGATCAACAAATATATTTTAGGTTAAAAAACGATAGGTATCCAGGCATTCAGAGAAGTTGTCATGGTTTTTATACTTATTTGGTATTTTTTGTCTTCTGTTTCCGTCATGTGTTTTATAATACACGGTGTAAAAGGCTTTTGCTATCATTGCAAGACACCACTAATAACTTCTTATTTCATATCATGTTAAAAAGCATTGGTATATAAGGCTGGATTCAAGAAAATCTTATTTCTCTAAAACTGCATTAATTCTTTTCCTTTTACAGAGTACAAATGTCAACTTTTATAAGACCTTTTCTAAGACTTCCAAAAACCTTGAATCTTATAAAGATGAATAAAATGAAAATTGTTGCATGAAAAAATTTCACTTTCATGCTTCATTTTGATGCATTTCAAATAAAATATTAATTTTTGGGGTTATTCTTCCTGGCTGAGGATCGGATATCCTTAATATCTTTAAATACTACGCATGTATGAATAAACCTTATGATAGCAAGGATATTAGAATACTTAACTAACCAACGTACCACCAATGTTTGCCAACTTTTTTTACAGATCTGACATCATCCTTGAAAAAGATTTAAATGATCTGCATATACGTACAGTATTTTCCATTGGTCCATTGGTAAAAATATACCCATCTCCCCGTGTCCAAAAATTATTGAATTATTTGCCTGCAAGAAAATATATTGTAACAACTCTCGATTCCAGTCTAAATTTCAAATCCATATAAATGTAATGGGAATTTGGCCATCGACAAAGTTCTGTATGAATGCAAAGAAAAGTTTGTCAAGTTTATCTTTGTTTTTATATATTGATGGATTAATTACCGAAATAATGGTTAAGTAACAGTTTTTGTGCCCATTTAAGATTTATGTGACTCTTTTGTTTTATGTGACTGTCACATGAACAAATTTGTGAAATGAGTGTTATGTGACTTAAAAAATCATTCTAAAGAAGTGTCACATAAAAAAATACGGACAATATTGTCCGTATATGGACGTCCGTCGATTTACCTCCCTTACCCCATGTATCACGTTTTGCGCCACATAATTTTTTTGAAAAAAGTCACATAAATTTGTCAGTACGTCGGTCGTCTCTCTGTACGTCCCTCCGTCTGTTACGCTTAGCGTACCCATCTCTTATCCGCAACTCCCCTTACACCACTGAGTGAAATTTAATGAAACTTTCACAGAATCTTTATTACATATTGCCATTGTGACCTCCTATTTTACTTTTTGATCCGACACATATTTTGGGTTTCCCGGACACAGCAGAACATGGACTTTGTCATCAGTTATAACCATTTGGGAGGCGGCGGGTATCATTTAGTGAGCTCATTGCTCACAGTACCTCTAGTTAGTGTTTTTTTAAAGGGGGGGTGTCGTTTATAAAACATACAATACAATATAATATAATTTGTTGACGGCATCACAGGCACTTGTTTCGGAAATAAATTTTTAACCCATAGTATAATAAACATAATGTTTTATCATAATATGGGTAAAAAATTTATTTCCGAAACAACTGTCTGTGTATTTACATCGAGATCGGAATTCAACATATGACGTCAACAGATTTGTTTACAAATGGCGGACGTAAATAGATAAAATCTAAACAGATACTTGAAAGAGAAAAACAACTGTAAGTGCTCAGATGTATACATTACATTTATCTTTTTTTATAATGAGATTTTATTTCAATGGATGGAAAAGATTATGTAGAAATATATTGCTTTTAGATTAGGTGGCAAATCCTGCTGGTCAGGGTTTTGACGGGCTTTATTGACAAATGCCATGGCGTCCAAAGTGAAGGAGAAAATAAAGAAAAAATCGCCAAAAGTAGTGAACCAAGGTTTGTGTACTTCATCTGCTTTTTTATTGAGATAATGTTTTGATAAACTTTCTTTTGTCCATAAACACTTATTTTATCATTTTAGCTGCAGAACTATAGCTCTCATCTTCGCTAACCAAGGTTTTCGGTTCGGGGAACTAAGTGGACCGAAAAAAAAACGTTTTTTTTATTAATTATAATAAGGAGTTTATAAGTACTTTTAGGGCGGAAACAACTTTATATTAAAAGCTAAGCTACTGTATAGTGTGTAAATTCTTGCTTTATTTTTAGTTGGTCTATCACCTCTAACTTTATTTTTACAGTGCTATATAGAATAGATTTTACTAACTGTCTTTTCATCACTTTATTTCTCTTAATTTTAATTTTGTATGCCTTTTATGAAACCACCTTCTCGGATGCTCCTTATACATAGGAGGGAACTCCATAACTGTATTGAACTGAAATTGGCTAGCGAAGATGACTACTGGCAAAGTTTTTAGTTCAAGAAAAAAGGAAAGCTTACCAGTAGCTAGAATCTAACAATTATTTCTTAATTTTTCAACAGAGGATGAGAGACCCTCCAGTGCTCACAGTCAGATAAGTGTTAAAGAAGCAGCATCTGTTGTGGACAACACCGAAAAGGTAGCTTTGATAAACATATAATGTATTTCAAACATCTTATACCTTGTTGATACATGTACATTTATGCATGTTTATGGTCTTTACCTGATATATAATATAACCAGCAATTCTGAATTTTTAATTATCAAACTTTTATGAATATTAAAATTAAGATACATACATATTAAATAGTTATTGGTTTATTTATAGTTCACAAAGGATGAGAGCAAACAAGAGAAAGAAAACAAGAATACACAGGATAAAAGTTCTGTAGAGAAATCTGAAGATACTAATATCAAAAGAGATGAAAAGAAAAGGGAGAAAGAAGAAAGGAAGAAGGACGGGAAAGCTAAGAAATCCAAGAATCTGAAGTCCTCTAAAGAGGAGAGTACACCTAGCGCAGATCCTGTCCCTGACAAAAAGAGGTCCCCCTCCCCATTTGGCAGAAATGTGGTGGAACCAACACAGGGGTCCAACATGGGAAGTCTGGCCTCCATCAAGTCCCATTCTACTATCAGAGGTACATCCATCCATGTTTAAATAGATAAGATAAGATTTATAAATATCAATTTGGGGCCCACCAGGGCATACAAGTAAAGAGAAAAACATACAAGAAGAAATTCAAAATTGATAGTAGCAACTAACAAAAAAAATATATATATATATACATGAACACATTCTTCTGGAAACAAGACAAGTTATTCCATAAACATAAAATTCTCTATCAGTTCTCTATGTATTTAGCTGATTTAATGTTGACTTTCTAAATTCTAAGTTCTTTATTGCAGAGGCTTGGACAGATAGAAGTTCCATGTCTGAGCTTAACTCTGGTAAGAATTTAGTCTTCAGGAATGACTAATATATATTTAACAAAATACTAATAATCATACATAGGAAACTAAACTGCTAAATTTTTGGTAAGCTGGAACTTTGTTGGACTGGTGTATTTTCATTATATTTTATCAAAACTTTTTCTCTCATAGCTATTTAATAATTTAGTAATAATATTAAAGTTTATATACAGCTTTTAGATCCTACAGTTTTGTGCTGCTTTTACTAATGATAACTTTCTTTGGTGACGTGCTCATTTTATCTGTTTTATTGATGACTTGCTATACTTTGCTCTATACAGCTCCACCTTCTGTAAATAGTAGCATCATCAGCGTTAGAGAGGCCGCCCGTGAGAATCGCGCTTATCTGGCTAACCAACAAGCAGAGGGTAAAACAGTTTTGCAACAACAACCTTAAGAAATTTTATTCCACTACAAGCCTGTTCTTTATTTTAGCATTCATTTAATGTACATGTATGTCTTGGGCATCTAAAGACTATTTACCCCACCTGTAACATTTTTTTTTGAAATCCTGGTTTACGATTGGTGTTGTCTGTCACATAAGGGGGTGTAATATTTATACATGGTCATTTGAAAATCAATGATCACTGACTTTGTCTTACTATTTATTGTGTATTTTACAGTTTTTAAAAAAAATGTTTATGGTATTTTCATTAAACATTATACTCTTTTACATTTAATTTTTCTGCATTTTTAAAATTACTAATGAACCCTAATCAGGTCATTTATGTTCTATGGACATATTTCCAGTTTGTTTGTTTTTTTCAATGAAAATTGAAAACAGTCCCTGTTAATCATTTAATTTTATAAAAAATATTTCAAATGCAGTATAACTACATTTACTTTGGGTAGTCAGGCTTGGTGTATTGAAAAAGAAAAGTGAAAATGATAATACACAAGCATGCTGCCTTTATTATTTTATTATCTATTGTTTGCTACACATGTATAACTGCTATTTCCTCAGTAACATCGGATAGTTCTGATGAGGAAGTAGAGGAGACGGAGGAAGTTAAGAATGCATACATTCCTTACCTCTATGCAAAGAAGAGCATCACCAAAGTTATCAAGGACATGAAGAAAATGAGGTCAAATCACATCCGCATTGTCACGGACATACAGAAAGAATATAAAAGTATCGAGGATGAAACACAGGTTAATTCTTATTAACATATAAAGTCAAAAAAACTCTCTAAATTTCTACATTATTTGTTGAAATGTAAAAATGAATTATTGAGGCAATGTAATACTGTAAATCAACATTTTTTGCCATGTCACAATCATGTAAGATCTTTAGTTACAAGGAATTTGTAAAATTATTTATAGTACACTTTGAATTTCTATTTTGTTTTTCTTCTGAAAATTGATTTTTGTTGACTTTACTAATCATTGACTAAAAAATAATCACTGGCTCAACTGCCATTAAAAATGATAAACATCTCATTCATTGGTAATTATTTTTTAACTATTTCTAGAGCCAGTTTAACATATTTGTCATCAACCTGCGTGAGCAATACAAAGGAAAAGTAGCCACGTTTCGCCAAGTGATTGACATCCACAGAACTGAGCTCCAATCCAAGGAATCCTACTGGAATGAAATGCTAGAGGTACTCAGTTTTATTATCTTACCCATGAAAGAATCCTAATTAAGATAAGATAAATTTTGAAGCATTCATGTATTTGTCAATTTTGAATCTTTTTTTTTAACTAAATATTTAATCATTTTTAAGAGTCTTGCTGAAAGGAACAGGCGTTTATTGAAAGATAAGAAAGTCTTACTGATACAAAATAAAGTGGAAATTGAGAGACTGGAAAAAGAAAAGGTATTATATGTCAGTAACTAAACAAAACCAACAAAAGGCAGTGACAATTTTTATACAAACAATAATCTATCTTAATTTATAATACAGTTGTGCTGAAATTAATCATTACTTGTTTTCTATTAAATTTAGAAGATTAAATGTTAAGAACAAGAAAGTGCATTATTTTTGTGTGAATGTTTTATTTTTCGTTGTTTAGTTGGTTTTATTTTCACTTGCCATTTCAGTTCATTAAATATTTTGTCTTACCAGGTTGAGATTCAAACGGAGTTGTCCCAGAAGTTAGATAAAGCAACTGTAGCCTTAGCAGCAGGTATAGAGCTAGTGATGAAGGTTTTAGTTTGAGGTTAATTCTATTAATAACCATATATCATGTTATTTTCATTCAAATGTAAACAAATATACATCCTTAATTTAAACCAAAAATCTCTGTTTTGTTTAGTTGAAAAGGAAAAAACAGAGGAAAAGAACAAAGAGGCAGATTTAGAGAATGAAATCAAGGTAAAGGGCTACATTTCATCACAGAAAATGATTCTAAATAAAAAAATCAACAACTATTTAAATAAATCTTCAAGTATTTTTATCTTATAAAAAATTTATTCTTGTACCTTTTAAAGTCAAGGTATAACAAGACCAATTGTCCAATATTTAGAAGACCTATTATCATAATAGCATAGTGACTTTAATGACTCTCTTTTAATTTTTGCTTCTGTTAATACCAGAAACTTAAGGAAGACCTGGAGAAAGAGAAGTCAGCAGTCACACAACTGGAACATGAGCTGGCGGAGGAGAGAAAACTCCGTGCGGCAGCTGGGGTAGCTGTGGTGGCATCCTCTGTGGCAGGAGAGCAGCAGGTGGAGACCAAGGTCAGGCACCACAGATATCTGTATAGCATTTATAGTGGATATAAATCTACATCAAAAGTCTCAGACACCACAGATATCTGTATAGCATTAAAGTGGAAATTGTTTTATATCAAAAGTCTCAGACACCACAGATATCTGTATAACATTTATAGTGGATATTGTTTGATATCAAAAGTTTCTGATTTCGACAAAAGATGAGTCAATGGATAGTGGATATTGTTTCTGATTTCAACAAAAGATGAGTCAATGGAAACTTGCTTTTCTTGAGTATAATTTTGCCTTTGGAATAAATAAATGAGGGCCATATGTCTTCATCTGTTGTCATTAGAAGACAGAACTGAAGAAAGAGACCCCAGTTACAATGGCAGTCCCAGTATCTGCTGAGGAGAAAGAGAAAATGTCCACAGAGAGGAGTGAACTGGAGGAGGAAAGACAGAGGATTATAGAGGAAAGAAACCAAATGGAGGAGGAAAGGAGGAATTATGGAGGAGAGAAGAAGGAATGGATGGATCAGATCAACAAACTACAGCAAGATATAACACTCCTTACAAAGGTTAGATAGCATTTAACTTTTTATGTGATTATTGATTAAACTATTTAGAACTTGATGAATTTCAGCAAGTGATGAGTGTTTGTAAATATACATTTGGTGAGAAATACTAAAATACTTATAATTTTATATATATACAATCATGTAGAAACAATATTTAAGTGACAATGAAGATGAGTTATATTTCATTGATGTTCCAGGAAAGCTCTGAGTGGAAAATTAAATATGAGGTGATGAAGCAGCAAGCGGAGAAATCAGCTGCTGTTCAGGAGAAATATGCTGCATTAGAGGCCCAATACCAAGCCCTGGCAGCAATTGTCACTGCCTCAGAAGGCACAGAAGCCATTGCCAAGGTGAGAATTATCCTGTTTGAATTTAAAAAGATCCATTTTCTTGTCAATTTTCATTTTTTTTCCAGTTTTTATTTTACAAAGGTCAATTAAAATCCTCTGGTTTACTTTTGTTGATATTACTTGTACCGTCAAAACAAATCCCTGCAAATATGTTTATTTTTATGCTGTTGTGCATTGATTCATGAGGTTTTTTAATGACATATACTAGTCCTGAAAACGATTTTTTTTACACCTGATTCAGGAGAACAAGAAGAAGGTGGAAGATGACCGAGCGATGATGACGGAGGAGAAGGCAGGGCTGGACAAAGAGATCAAACAATGGGAGGCTCAGTTCAAAAAGAAAAATGGCCGACAACCAACAGAGGAGGACAAGTAGGTGTAAACCTGATACACAGTAAACCTGATTAAAGTAGATAAGGTATTCATGTTGTGGATTCAATGCCTTCATAATATTAAATTTATAATTATGTGAACAGGACTGACTCTGTAAAGGAGATGTACGTACAGCAAGAGGAACTCGACACAATGGTGAACTCTCTAGACAAAAAACTGGAAACTTATCAAAAACTGGAGAGTGGAGCTGTTCTGGAACCCCCTGAAGTCATCCCGACCCCCATCAAAGAGCCAGAGATTCAAACAGTAGAGGTATGCTTTTAAGAAGAAGGCTTTTGAATCCTAAAATGTCCTGCCAGTCTAGTATAAACCAGTAAACTTTAAATTTGTAAATGTTTTATTTAAAATTATTTTTTTACAGGTATAAAATGTACAAAACATGCATGAACATATGGGAAAATTCATTCTTAAATATATTATAAGAAATGCATTCCTTACATTAAGTATTTTGCTTAGAAACATTTGTGTTCAAAGTGGGCTTTTAAATTTATGCAACAACAAAATGCATATATAAAAATTGGGCAAAATTTTACATGAATACAGTACATGTGATACAAATGCATGTGTACTATATGAAAAAAAAAAAACTGATGTAGGTCAAAGTACCTGACCCAATGGTGATGGCTCAGTTAGAAAAGGAACAGGCAGAAGTGGAAAATCTCAGGGCCAAGATTGCTGAACTCCAAAAAGAAAACACAGAAAAAAGCAGTCAAATAAGTCAACAGAATGAGGAACTCTCCAGGCTTAGAGATAAAATCAGTCAACTTGAGGCTGCCTTGAAAGCTGGAACTGTTGCCGTGGCAGCCACATCCATCAACTCAGAGGTTAGCTTTAAGTCAGAATTATTTATTTCTAAGCATAACCGAATATGGCACTATAAAAGAATTTGGCACTATCAAGTTTCATTTTGACCGGTCTTATGTTCATTGAGACAAATCTACTGTTTTAGGAGGTTGATGCCTTGAAAAAAGAAAACAAAGATATGAAAAAAGACATGAAAAAGCTACTAAAAAGATTGGAGAAAGAAGAAGAAAAAGCTAAAGCAGTTAATGTTGGTAAGGAAAAATTATGTCTTTTGCAGTATTTTTTTAATACAGTTAAATCATACATGCACTGAGAGAAAAATTTAGTGTTGGAATGGACATGACATTAGATTACACAGTGTTAAACACATGATAAATAGTAAAATGAGAATAAAAATAAAAATTTGGAATTTACATTAACATATTACACTTTTGTCAGATTAGAAGTTTTTCACTATATAGGTTATTTTAAAAAAAAAATATAAATGATTTGTTTTCCCCCTCAGATCCTGATACCCGTGTGCAGACTTTGGAAGAGAAAGTTAACTCCCTTGATGAGAAGATAACTGACATAGAAAGTGAAAACGAGACTCTGAAGGAGCAGAAATTGAGGACAGAGACTGAAAAAGAGGCTCTTTTACAACAGATTCAGGTACTCGGCTTTTTAGGACACTTTTCATTTTTTACTGGTGGTTACTAGGTAGATTACTAGGTTGCTTTTTACCTAATATAATGAATTATGATTCATTAATTCAAGAATCTGTTGTTACTTTTTTCAAATGTACATGTAAATAATGCATGCCTCACCATGCTTAAAACAAAATGCTACTGTGACAGTAAGTGTATTGATACTGTAGATTCCTAATTATATACAAGGAATTGATTATCGTGTAATTTTAGCAAGAACCATCACTCGCAAAATAAAATTGCTCGCTTTTATATTTAAGGTGCTGAAATCCATGTTAATTCTCTTGATCAACCATCCGTTCACAAATTATTGTTCTCGCGATTTGATGTTAAAGAGTCGTTTTACAATGATAAGTACTCACGAAAAATGAGGAATCTACAGTAACTTTAATATATAGTAGTCTTATGGACCTAGTGCATTGGTCAAAAGGGAAATGTACTATGGAAGACCAATTGTCTTCAGTGTAAATTCTGGGGTTTTTTTTAGGTACTGCAACAGCAAGTTGTTACACCAGGAGTGACAGCAGCAGTGGCTGTTACCGCTTCCACCCCTGTAAAATCAGAGCCTGTTGATGTAAGCTGATTTATCATATTCTTGTTTTCATAATCAAGGACATATGTTACGATAAATCTTAAGTAAATTGTTAGTAAACCTTCAATAAATGGCACTGCATTATAATACCAAGTAGTCAGTGTTTGACTTCGTAGTTTGTGTTTTATTAGGGATGCAATGTTCCTGCTCATGCGGACTTAATTCAGCAACTGGAGGACAAGAAAATGGAAATCAAGGAGTTGGAACGGCAGTTGCAGGAGAAGGACACACAGATTCAGGAGAAGATCCTGACCATCCAGGATCTGGAGAAGGTCAGAGACAACAGGACAAAAATCACAATATACTGGAGCCTTCATTTTGTTGATATTAACTGCTCAGTCACATTTACTTTAAAGAGTCAATAGTACAAAAACAGGATATATAGGAGCCTTCATCTTGTTGATATAAGAGACAAAAGTACAAAAACATGATAAATAGGAGCCTTCATCATGTTGATATCAGCTGCTCAGTCAAATTCACTTTAAAGAGTCTTTAAGAATGTGTTATATTTTAACATGTTCAAAGAAATAAAAGGAAAATGGTAAAAGTGGTGAATTTTTGACATCTGAAAGATGAATTTGGTTTTGTAGGAATTGGACAAACTTAGATCGGATAATAAGGAAATGAGAACAGATATGTTGAAGATGGCTAAACAGCATACAAAGCTCCAACATAAACTAAAAGATCTGGTGGATTTTGAGAAAACAAAGAAGTTACTTGAAGCAATGGCTTTCTATGTAAGTGTGCATGTATATATATATATTTGCAGATGCAGTGCAGACTTCAGTATACCACTGAATTATAGAAAGGCAAAATAATTACATGTATGAGAGAGGTCTTTTCTAAATCTCATCCTTGATTCACAGAATTTCTGTATTTCCTTTCGGCTAGGTACATGAGATTCATGGAGAGGTGCCCGCAGCAGCGGAGGGTGTGACTAATCGCCTGGAAGTTGTTTCTTCTGAGGCTCTCAAATTTAAAGAGAGTCAGGAAAAGAGTATCAAGGCTGTGGAGGCATGGGTGGCCAAGTTTACCAAGAAAAATGGGAGGGAACCAGGTGTCAGAGACAGGTAGGAAGTGAAACTGACAGATTTGTTAATACATTACTTTTGTACTTATGAAGTAGTATGTTTAGGTGCAACTTAGTCTTTTCATTATGTGATGTAATTCTAAGGTGCTTTAGTATGTCTGGTAAACCAAAAATCTGTATGAATTTTCTGCATCTCAATGAATGCCATCCAAAGTCTGTCAGAAATGTAGCAGGAACAGAAATTGCTCATGCCCCCTTGCTCTTGTAATGGTAAACTCTTTTACATGATTAATATTAATTCAGTACATAAACATTACAAACTGTATGTACATGTATAATTCAGAGATTCTGATGGAGAGAGGGCTTACAAAGTGTTGGAGGAGAATGGCAAACTTTTAGAGGATAAGAAGATAATGCTTGAGGCCCTACAGATCATGAAAACAGGAGATTACAAGGCCCCGGAGTCCAGGGTCAGCATGGAAGCTGTGTCAGGTATAGTCTACTGTCTCATCATAAAACACTGGGTGAGGTCTGTATAAAAAGAGAAAAGGGTTGAATTTGAGAAATATTAGTGACTACCATATACAGGGTCATTTTCTCCCTGTGTTATTTTCACCCTTTCACACAATTAATTTTGCCCCACTTTAATTCCTCCTTTTCATAGTTTTATATAGAAATTATACTGTATTCTTATTTTGTGAACTTACCCCATTCTAAATTCGCCTAAATGAGGGGAGGGCAAAAGGGGTGAACATTTCCTTGTATACAGTATATTGACTTGTGATTTGTAGAGGAGTCACCAGTGGAGAAGATGGAACAGCAGATGACAGCAATGGATGACAAACTGACAGATCTGGAGACTGACAATGACAACCTCAGAAGGGAGAGAAATGACGCTGTAGCTAAACTAAAGGTAAAGTGTCTTCGAATTAAATAAAAATACTTGTACTCTCGTTAAACTGCTTTTCTCCTTTTGAATACATTCAAACAGCATCTTTTGTATATGCCAAACAGCTGACTGCTTTTTTGACTGCCACTTCATGTTATCTTAATTGTATATAGATGAAATCATAGTAACTTTATACATGTAAATGATTTTGTTCCCAGGACTTGGAGCTACAATTAGAACAGGCTAAGAATGATCTACAGCTTCAGACTACTTTGGCATCTGGTCTTCAAGATTCCCAGGTACAATTATTTGTCTTCCTTTTAATATTATTTAAATCTGACATACAGTTGATGCAATATGGAATGATCAATTTCATTGTAGAAGAACAATTATTGATAAATGTCTTCTTTTCAGGAATTGTCAGAGCAGATAACAGACCTACAGAAGCAGCTGAATGCCTCAGAATCATCCTTATTACAGGAGAGGACCGCTCACACCAGTACACGAGAGGAGCTGGAGAACCTCAGGAAACAGATGGAGGTGCTGAGGGAGGAGGTAGACACAGAGAAGGCGGACCTGAGGGCCCAGCGGGAGAGTGACAAGAGGACCAAGGACGCAGAGAACAAGGCACAGCTGGAGGTAGTACTGGGATGGGGAAAATGTCCATCATTGTCAGGGCATTGATTAGACTTGCACAACTGGGTACTAGTGGAATAAATGCTTCAATGATGTTCTAGTAAATTAACCCTTTGTGTGCGGGAACCCAATATATTGGGTCTGACGTCACAAACGCTTGCGTGCGGGAACCCAATATATTGGGTCTGAGTCTGGAATTTGCGCTTCGTCACATAAAATGTAGTATAAAACGGATCAATGAGTTGTGAATTATTAAGAATCTATCAATATGTATTATAAAACTACAGTACATTGGAAAATATGTAATTAAGATGTGAAAATATGCGAATTATTTTTGAAATTGTGATTTAAAGTGAAGGTGTTGGCGTTTGTTACGATGAAAGTCAGTCCGCTATTTTTGGAAACAGGGAAAAAACGCGCATGTAATAAATATCTGCTAACTTGCTGAGTTGCTCTAATATACATGAAAATAAAGAAATAAATCCAAAAAGTAGTTAAATATCAATAATTCTAATAAATTTGTGTTAGTAGACATAAAATTACATAGAAATTGTCGATATTTTAGCAGAAAAACTCTGGTTAATTTGACTTGACCTTAACCTTGCGAAGTTCTTCCTGTTAAAACGAAAGTAGGGTGCACATGCTACTGAACTTCAGTCGGAAGCATATCGAGAACTTATATGGTCGGCAAAGTTTTATATTTTGGACAAACGGTGGTTATTTTTTGTTTATTTGGTGTTTTGTAAGTAGACATACATTACATATCGTCTAAATGAAAACAATAATGCGCGAGATTGAACCTGGCAAGTCACAGACCGTCAGACGTTTTTCTTTCCCTCAGTGGTTGTGCACGTTGTTTTCATACGTAAATCAAGCTTTGCTTTGAAATAAAGGTTTGCAAAAAATAATTTGAAGCATCTTGTTAATTAAAAGCATTTGTTTTTTTAACAATAAATAAATAAGTAAACAATTTTTTTTAAATCTAAAGACCCATTTCAAAAATGTTAAAACCACCTAATAAAAGTAATAAATGTGGAGGACCTTGAACATTGTAGAAAATATGCCAATGAGTTATTGCATTAATAAGTAAGTGCAAAAGAGATGTACAGAGAATATATATCCATCAACATATTTTTGTGATCAAGCAAAATTAATTCAAGATACAGGTATTCGAAATATACACAATATGAATTTTATAACTGACAATCATTGAGTCAATTAAGTGGCCCTAATTACACCTAAAATTTCTGGTTTAAAGCTGCTTGATGGTCCATCTATTTGGGAAAACTTGCAACTATTTTTTTTATAACAGTATATGATATATTGTAAAATTTTTAGCATGATTAAAAATTAAAAATAAACTTGATATTTTCTATATAGTTTCTTCAAATGTAAGCTAGTTATCAGAAAACATGGAAAAGATGCATTGATGCATTTGATCATGTGCATGTACATGAAAATGGTAAAAAGTGATGAAAAAATTTTGAAGTGCTGATTTTCCCTGAAATGACTGTCATTTGTGTAAACTGTTGTATTTGTTTTATTTCAGTAAGTAATAAAAATACCATTTTTATTTCCTTGATGAGGATTATATAGACTCTTAATAATTTAAAAACATGTTCCAGGATCTTTGGTATCTTACAGTTAGATTTCTTCAAGGCATTTACATACTCTTGTTTGCATGGGACCTACCGGTAATTAGTAAGTGAAAATAATTGGTACTACATGTATCAGAATTTTTTCCTAAACCAAGTTTAAGAACATGTATCAGCTAGGGAGACATTTTCTTTTTCTTTAAAATAGACTTTGCCAGAATAAAGCATGTGGATTAAATTGCATTTGTACTACATGTATCAGAATTTTTTCCTAAACCAAGTTTAAGAACATGTATCAGCTAGGGAGACATTTTCTTTTTCTTTAAAATAGACTTTGCCAGAATAAAGCATGTGGATTAAATTGCATATTTCCTCCACTTTTTATTTCTATTTTATCATGTTTATTAAAAACCAAAAACAGTGAGATTGCCCCAACCTATACATGCACACACAAAATTATAAAATTCACTGGTTAAATAAATGGTAACTCTACAGTTTAAAATTAAAATGAATTGTCATTTTTGTAGGCATAAGAAGGAGATCAGAGTCTTTTAATAGAATGAGTAATTTGTAAATTGTATGGACTTGCATGTACATCTGTTCAATAAATTACAATAAAGACTGGGTAATACAGCAAAACTGGTTTAGTACGAACACGAATATTGCGAATTTACGGATATAGCGAAGTCAATTTGGATACCCAGCTAGAAAATAAATTTAATTGATTTCTTATGCAGTTATAACGAATTACAGATATAGCGAAGTAATTTCATAGGTCCCAGTGACTTTGTTATAACCGAGTTTCACTGTAGGAATTGTACTTCTCAAACTCAAAAGTACACACTGTACATGTTTTTACCTATTGATATGAAATATGTCCTCTAGTTTACAAATTTATAAGGCCCAAGAAGCTTCTACATTCCACCCCTTCTAGATATGTAACAGTAAGATAGGTACATTTGATATAAGAGATAACCATATATGCCTGAATGAATACAGTAAAAAAGCTAAGATTTACTGTGAGAATTTTTTTTTAATGATGGTCAAGAAAAATTTTCAAAAATGCAAATTCCTATACAATTACTTATCAACAAAGATTACATTTTGGTCTCCAAAGATATGTTTATTTTTAAATATGAAAATGTGAATAGTTACTAAGAATACAAAGAAATCCCATAGTGGAAATAAAATATATATTTCATTATTAGGAATGTTATTTTATGTTGAAGTAAAAATTGAGGCACATTCAAAACTTGTGTAAAAGGAAAGAAGAAAATGTATGGTAACTATGGTTGGACCAGGAATTGAACTCGGGAACCCTGCTTCACTAGTCTGGTGTTCTACCGAATGAGCTACCTAGGTTGATACCCATAGCACAACCATTACATATCCCACCTTAAAGTTATATTCATCCTTGCAGACGCAACCCAAATTCTTATTAGCCCCTGACAGGACTTTCAGAGGGGTCGATAGCATCAAATCTGTAACAAGGAAGGAGAAAATGCACGGCTGGACGGTGAATCGAAGAAGGGACCCCTGGTCAGATGCTCTACTGACTGAGCTTACTCGGCCTATATCCATGACCCATACCATTACACTTGCATAAACTTAAAAGTATTTCATAATATATTGATTGATATTATAGTACATATCTATCAACCATCATTAACTAAAATCAGTTGAAAAAAATCAAAACTGTTATTCACCAGTGACCACATTGAACGAAGTAATTTTTGAAAACATTATAAATGAATGTTAAAGTTGCTTAAATTTCTAAAATTTAAAATTCTAGTTTTCCTGCTGGCAATTATTGTTGCCAGCTAGGAATAAAACTTCTAAAATGAATGCCTCATTTCTTACAGAGTGAGAAGTACTGTGGGATGAAAGTTGATGAATATGTTAACTTTACAAATAACATGGAGAAATGCATTTTTTTTCCAATAAAAGCAAAAAAAAAAAAAAGAAGAAAAAAAGATTTGAGATTTACTAGAGTATGTTTAGGGCTGTTAGATACAAGTCATTAGAAAATAAGACCTCTATAACTTAGTGTAAATGTTATTTTTTTTTTTTTTTTTTAAATTTATTTATCATATTGACTGCTTTAATTTGAAAATGCATACTAGTAACAGTAATTAGTTCATTGTTGTGCCAATTTGCTCCAAGATTTCCCAACCTCGAAGACAGCATATTCTTTGAGGATCATACTTTCTTATATGATTGCCAATATTTCTTAAAATAATCACTGGTTTTATATTTACAGGCTAATTGAATCTTCAATTTATACTCTTTTTAGTTAAATTTAAAAAAAAAAAAAATCCATTAACTTAAATCAGAATTCACTTAAACCTACATGAATATATCCCTCACTCAGATAAGTATATAATAACTTTTCACAACATAACGGTATATATATATAACATTGACTTAATCATTGAGTTATTGTTTAAATTGATTTTTTTTTTTACATAATATTAAATCTAAAATTGAATTTATAAAGGAATTGGTTAATTTTTTTCATCAAAGTGCAATATTTTCTCTGAAAAATACAGTTAAAAAGCTGAAAAGTCGTTTTAAAATATATTTTTTGAAAATTTGGTTTCCATGGCAACATAAAATTTTAGATTTAAAAAAAAAAATATTATAAATTAAAAAACACAACATTTGCTACATTTGTGCCAAATTTCAAGCAAATTGGTTGTCAACAATTTTAGATATTTGCATTTTAGTACACCATTGTGATAATTTTGTTGATATTACAAAACAACTCAGTCCTGAAGTTACAGTGCACGTAAAACAAGTCAGCACACAAAGGGTTAAATTTCTTGGTAGAATTCTCTTTAAAAAGCACAAATGTGCTTACATAAATGGCTAGATGTAGAGTTTTACTAATTCTTTGGTTCTGTGTTGATAGGAGATCAATGCTTTGAAGTCCAGAAATGAACAGCTTGAGATGGAGAGGCTAGCCAATGTTCCTGTGGACACAGCTAAAGAAATCAAGGATCTGCAGGCCAAAATTGTAAGCAGTCAAGCCATATTTTTCTTATTTCTAGGCAATACATGTATAGTCTTTCTGATAATTTTGCATCATTCAGCACTGCTACTTTTTATTTTTAGGCTGCATTGGAAAAGGAGAAATCGGGAGCTGGAACAGCCAATGCCACATTACAAGCTCAGATTGGTGAGCTGAAAACCAAGCTAGAGGGAGCTCAGAAGAACACCGAGGCACAGCGAGCTGCTAACAGAGAGCTGGAAGTAGGTTTACTGTGTTTAAACCACAGGCTTGTCTGTCAGAAAAAAGTTTATAAATAATAATGAACATGTAGATGCCTCCCTCCACTTAAAATAAATATCAAATATATACATCTATTTTGTGCCAAGATGGGGGGAAATAAGAATTTTTTTCAATTTTCATACAGCATCTGATAAACATTGTGATATATCTTCTGTATCTTAGGCTAAAAACAAGTCAGCTAAAGCAGACAAGGACAAAGCCATTAAGGAGGTAACCCAACAGATAGAGAAGAGAGAGCAACAAAGAGCTAACGAGGACAAGAAGAGAATAGCCGCACTGGAGAAAAAGATCCGAGACCTAGAGGCAGGGGGAGTTAAACCTGTAGCTGCTGCTGTGGCTGGGGTAACACAATAATTAACTTGCTCAATACAGTAAAATTGGTTATAAAAACTTGCTTTTGAGAAATTCCTTGTTGTAAAAACTCTTTGCAAATGCCAAAAAGGGTGTTTTACTATGTTTCTTTCACAGATGTAAAGAATCTTGGTTATAAAGAATCAAAACTTAAGGTCTTTTAATGACTGTCTGAATGATGCATATTACCATTGCATTTTTTAATAAAATTGAATAATGATTTTAACTTTAGATAAGTACATGTATTTAAATTTACTAGAAATGAAGAAATATTTCTGAAAGATTAAAAAAAAAAGAAAATTTCTAATGCCGTCCTTGGTTGCCACTTTTTACTTGAGTCAGAATGACATAATATCTGAACTTTTTACTGATCAGGGTAAGGCTGGGTCAGACGCAGGAGACAAAGTCCTGAAGGAGCAGCTGGCCAACCTCAAGAGAGAGAACAACGAACTGAACACCAAAATCAAACAACTGGATGCGGAGATCAAGAGAGGGGCCAGACAGGCCACAACAATGGGCAACGAGGATGTAGGTCCATAAACGGAGTCTAAAGAATATGCATGAATTTCAAATAATTTATTCCAGTTTCATTACATATATGCTATTCTTTAGCCTCATATATTAAAATCAAATGTGCATACCTCAGAAAAAAATGTTTTGTAGAAAAATGATTTGAAGAGGAAGGAGAAGATTCTGAAAGAACTCGAGAAAAAGTATGAAATTGAGAAAAATAAAACTTCCAAGCTTGGAGAAAATCTTAAGACCACAGAGGAGGAGCTCAAAGTCACCAAAAAGGTATGTGTATAGATGTATATAGTATTGGATGCTTTATCAATAATTTATACTGCTGCATTTCTAATGTGTGAAACACAAAATTCTGTTTCATATTTGTCAAACAAGAAAAGCAGATTTAAGAAAGGTTCATGTATTATAGTATGTCAATATGAATAATTTCTGTCAATTTATGCCATTCCTGCCTTTAGATAAATATTTTCCCCTTTTTTAACAGGAAAGAGATGAGAAGGAGAACGAGTTGAAGAAGGTTACAGCAGAGTTGTCTGCCCTTGGTGTGGCGGCAAAGCAGGGAATGGAGGCAGCCACTAAAGTCAAGACGCTGGAGACTGATAACAAGAAATTAATGGAGGAAAACAAAGTCCTGACAGAGAACTATAACTCAGAGAGGGTAAATTACAGATTCAAAAGTTCTGAACCGATCATTGCAGCAGATTAATGATAGTCGTAATTGTTGTCTTGATTGGTTTTAAAGGGTATTATGTAAGTCTTTGTACAAATTATGTGGATGTTTTATTCAGGTTTTGAGAAAGAAATATTACAATATGGTAGAGGACATGAAAGGAAAGATCCGAGTGTACTGTAGAGCCCGGCCATTGAGCTCAGGAGAAACTGAGAGGGTAAATAAATCTATTGTAAAAAATACTATCTCATAATAATAAAGGGAAAATTAAGCTTTTATGAGAAATGTGTTTTCTTTTCAATATATCCTAATGAAGTTCTTTCTTTCTCACAGGGTAACTTTTCTGTAGTCAAGTCCCCTGACGAATACACCATTAATGTAGAGTCCAGCAGAGGCACAAAAGAGTTCCAGTTTGATTCGATTTTCATGGAAGATTCAACTCAGGAAAAGATTTTTGATGACACAAATGTAAATGTTTTAAATACAGTATCATTTGAAAAAAGAGTTTTATTAATCTGAATTATAAATTACACTTATTTAAAAGTTTTAAACTGATCTTTATTTGTTTTGATTATTTCTACAGAACCTGATTCAGTCTGCTATGGATGGTTACAATGTCTGTATCTTCGCCTACGGTCAGACAGGAAGTGGGAAGACTTTCACAATGATCGGAGACAAAGAACAAAAATTCCCAGGAATAGCTCCCAGGGCTTTTGAAAGAATATTTTCTTTAGCTCATGAAGTGAGGTAAAAATCTGAGAAATTGGATTAACCTCTTTGCTAAAATGTGGTAGTTTTTATGTTAATCATCATATTCATGATATGTATTGTTTATATGAGGGTTACATGCCCATGAAGTTTTTATACAAGTCCTGTAATTTTCTAAGTAATGACCACACTGTCAAACATGTTCAATATTAAATAGTAATACCCTTGTAAAAGGTCCATGTTTACTCCTGAAAAATATAGTATCAAGAATTGTTCATGATTTTTCCTCTGAATATTGTTATTATTTATTATATATGGCAAACATGTTCATGTATTCATCATTTTCCAAGATACCAGTATTTATTTTTCAAAATCGTAATGTCAGAAGATAATCATATGCATAAAACTCCGCATACTATTTTAAAATAAGATCTTTGAACTTTTTATTTTTAGAAACAAATTCCATGTGAAGGTTTCTTCCTATATGATGGAGCTGTACAATGACAAACTGATTGACTTGTATGCTAAGCCAGGAACTTCTGATGACGTAAGCAGACCTTAAAATGGGAGCAATATAAAGAATTATATAAACTCCTAGATTATTAAATTCAGAGCAACACTTGTCCAATATTTTATGTTGATTCCAATATCTTGTTGGTTTTTAGGATAGGATGGATATAAAGAAAGATAAGAAGGGCCTGGTGTACGTACAGGGGGCTGTCATTAAGGAGGCCACAAATGCCAAGGAGCTCTTTGGTTTATTTGAGGAGGGAAGCAAGAACAGACATGTTGCCTCCACTAGTAAGTTGTAAAAAGCACAAGTAAAATTACTTACAGAATCTGCACAGTAAAGTCATCTGTATTTCATGGGAACTTGTCCTGTATGTACTTAATTCAGTTCTCAAGCTATCTGCGAAGGTTTGTGTATAAGACATGTTTTTTTTTTGCGTGAAATAGAAATGAATGCAGAGAGTTCTCGTTCCCATCTGATCATTGGTATTACCATAGAAACAACAAACAGAACAACTGGACAAGTCCTAACAGGAAAAGTGAGTCATCTCTTGCTTAAAATCTTGCCCTTATTTGACTGTTACTTAAAATCTCAGACTTACTAGACTGTTACTTAAATGTTGATCTTAATTGACTGTTGCATAAAACCTTATTTGACTTTTTTTGCAAGACAATGACTTTTTTCCTCTGTTTTCATTGTAATTATTCTATCAACATATTAATAAGAATATTTTAAAAAGTTCACTCTGTCTTAAGTTAGAAGGTATTGTATGAATTTTCTTTCTGACTAACAATTGTAATCTTGTCTTTGTTTTCTCATTCTCAGCTGAGTTTGGTAGATTTGGCAGGAAGTGAGAGAGTGGCCAAGACAGGAGCAACAGCTGAACAGTTAAAGGTCAACTCATTTTAATTTCATAAATCTCAATATCTATAAAATAACAAAAAAGGAACTGTGATTATGCCCCCTTGAAGAAGGAACCACATATTGCTTTGCTGCTGTCCATCTGTCTGTCTGTAATGGTGATTTAACTGACACTACAAACAATGTTGTAAACAATTCTTACAACAGCCAAAGTCAGCTGTTTATCTGAGTAAGAAAAAAAAATGAAAAAGGAAGAAAAAATGATGCAGTACACACTGTCAATGGAAAACGTGAAAGCTACAACTTTTTCATCTTAACTTTTTAAAAAAAATTTCTGATGATGTTGAAAATGATATATGTCATGCAGCCACATTGTCTTATATATTTGAACCCAGACTATTTAACAAAACAGTTTTGAACTCATTTGGTAGTGAACATGTTTGATATTCACCAAAAAGAAATCATCTTTGCCTCGGTCAATCCATGTATTGATATTTGTCTGGTGAATATCAAATTATATTCACCACCAAAAGAGTTCATACTTGTATAATATTCCGAACAGAATTTTTGATAAAGATTGAAATTCTTTAACTTAATACCAACAGGAAGCTATGTCCATCAACAAGTCTTTGTCGGCCCTGGGTGATGTGATTTCAGCTTTGAGTAGTGACCAGCAGTTCATTCCGTACCGTAACCACAAACTTACCATGCTGATGCAGGACTCACTTGGAGGAAATGCCAAAACGCTTATGTTTGTTAATATCTCCCCCGCGGACTACAATCAAGACGAAACCATCATCTCACTCATGTAAGTCTGTAAAACACTTGGACGAAAAGAGCCCTGTTTACATAACGTTAAAAGTGGCTTAACCCTGAACAGGACATTATTATTTTTTCCAATGGTACAAAGGTTATTTTGCTATCTGACTGTTTGTCTTTATATAGATTTATAACTGTTACAGGTATGCATCGAGAGTGAAGTTAATTACCAATGATGCTTCCAAAAATGCAGAAAACAAAGAAATCAACAGACTCAAAAATGTTAGTATAAGATTAATACAATAATTTTCATTTCTGAAAAAAACTTGCACTTATCTTTTATTTTGAAGCATATGTAGAAATGTAGTTCCTTCATTCCTGTATTTTCTTATTTACAGATTATTGCCAAGTTGAAGAAAGGAGAAACTGTTAATGAAGATGACGAGTAAAGAGGAAATTCTGGAGTTATTTGAAATATTTAGCATTAATTTTTAGTTGTTCACAATTAACATTTGTCCAGTTATTCAACTTACAGACAGTAACAAACAAATAGGAAATCTAAGGTTTTCATAGATAATTTTTAATTGATTCCGTCCTTTATCCATTTTGAAATGCTAGTATTGACACTGTGACGCTGTGATATCTAATTTTTTTTTTGGAAAGGGGGGAGGGTGAATTGTACTCGGCATGTTTTTGTGATTTGTCACTTTATTATATTTCTCGTTTTTGTAAATCTGTTTTATTTATGTAATGAACATTTCTGTTTTATTGGTAGTTTACTTGTATACTTTTTAATACTTATAACTTTGTTTTATACACATTTAACCATTCCGTCCTGAAAGGCTGGCCCTTTGTCATATTCTTCATGATTTTTTTGTATTTAGACATGCCTGTGATATATTTATTTAATTAAGTTATAATTCAACTAATCACTTCTCTGCAAGTGGTGAAATTGTAATCTTATTGTAATTTTTAATGTATGCCTTTTCTCTTCAAATCCAATCTAATGTGCAATGACTTTTACAATAATATTACATGTAATTTTCTCTTTCATTTCTTATTAAATAAAAATATTTGTATATGGAGTTTTTGTCTAAATTGTTCTGAAGTGAATTGGTCATTTATACATAGATCATATAATGCTAAAATTGAAAAAAAAAGTTATCTTTGATTTTTACTTTGATATAATTTCTGTCCTCTGACCATATTCCACACAAATTACCGGTAAGCAAAATCACTGAATCAGTGAAATATGCTGTATTCAGAAATATTTGAGGATTTTCTTAAAACTGTGTAATTTTCTCAGTGGTGTTACCAAGGAGAGCTTTTGTGTTTTTCTAATCAACAGTGATTATTGATGAATTGTCTGTTTTTACACCATTTTTTGATCAATTTTGATATAAATTAGATTGCAGTGATTGAGCTGTTTTCATGCCCCCCTTCAAAGAAGGTAGGGAATATTGCCTTGTGCTGTCGGTCCACCATTAGTTTCCATTCATTTTCTTTGCAGAGGTTGCACATATTGAATTGAAATTTGGTATTATAGTTACAGATTTATCATAAGAATATCTAGGCCAAGTTCTATTTTGGGTACGATCGAGCCACTTTGTACAGAGTTATGTCCCTTGGACTTCGAAAATGTTCAATTATTTGCAGTTTCCGTTCATTTTCTTTGCAGAGGTTGCACATATTGAACTGATATTCGGTATACAGATTTATCATAAGAATATCTAGGTCAAGTTCTGTGTTGGGTACGATCGAGCCATTTTGACAGTTATATCCCTTGGAAAAATTCAATTATTTTGGGAATGGGACATAAGTGTTTAGTTTATAATGAATAAACTTACCTGACTCAAAGGATCATGTGAGCTTTTCCAAGACAAGTTTGTTCCATTTTTGATGCCCTAAACTTTTCACAATGTCATTTGCTCCTAAACCGAGGGACCAATTACAAATTGCCACAAAGTGTCCTTTGACAAAGGGAATTCAGATTTGGTCAATAAAAGGGTTACATTCTCTTTCAAAAAGTCTGTGAGTCAATCCTCGCTCTGATTTGAAAATCAGGTAACGAATGTGGCACGAATAAACAGGAAGGTGGATCTCACCATATGACATGCCTTAACAATTAATGTGCTCAAAGGTCAAACATTTGCAATTAGTAGTTGCTGACAAAGTCGCGACGTAAATTTTTCAACGGACAGACGCACAGTTAAACAGGAAATTGACATGGGATTCATACAAAAATAAATCTCACAATATTGCATGCCAGAACAAAGAGTATGGCAAGATTTTATGCATCTGTGAAGAGAAGTTGTTGAGAGTCTTTTCAAGAATAGCAAAGCCATTGTGACTCAAGTGAGCGTTGTGGTCCATTTGGACTGCTGTAAAGCTCTGTCTATGCATTAGATATAGGTTCCATAGACGCTTACTATTTTGAGATATGAAAGGAAAGAAAACCCCTGACTTGTCGAAAATGCTTTATTTTGCATCTGTCGATCATGCTGTAGTAGTCACATTGTGCTCACACAAACCATAGCCAGAAGCGCCAACGTGCGGTGTTTCTACAGCTGCGCCGTGAATATTTGCGTATGTTTCACAGTAAAGACCTGCCAAAAATATTTGTTACATATATGCATTTTTAGGCAATGTATACCTTTTCTCGAAGTCTGAATATAAATCTGATTATAATTTGATATTTTTTTCTTAGTACATGTATATATACATATTATATATTCCTCCTTTCGGTATTGGACGGTTCAGAACAAATGCTTCTTGCGAAAAATTTTTATTTATAAAGTTTGACTACCGTGTCCACATCCACAGCTGTGGTGCTCGTTTCCATCAAGACGACATTCCTGTAGATAGTGGAGATACTTTTCTACACAAGCATTATCACCGAACACGTCCGTCATACAACAACCAGAGCGGCAGTCGGCGTCAGTCTTACACTGAGACCCGAACAGGTCGTCAAAGAGAAAAGCCTAAAAACACAACAAAACAAGCCGTCAACGAGAAAAGCCTAAAAACACAACAAAAACAAGTCGTCGAATAGTAAAGCCTAAAACAATACAACAGGTCGTCAAAGAGAAAAGCCTCACAAACACAACGAGAATAGGTGGTCAAAGAGAAAAGCCTAAAACACAACAAGATCGGGACGTCAAAGAGAAAAGCCTAAAAACACAACAAGAAGAGGTCGTCACAGAGAAAAGCCTAAAAACACAACAAAAACAGGTCGTCACAGAGAAAAGCCTAAAACCACAACAAGAATAGGTCGACAAAGAGAAAAGCCTAAAACACAACCAGAAAAGGGCGTCAAAGAGAAAAGCCTAAAACACAACAAAACAGGTCGACAAAGAGAAAAGCCTAAAACACAACCAGAACAGGAAATCAAAAAGAAAAGCTTAAAAACACAACAAGATTAACAGGTCGTCAAAGAGAATAGCCTAAATCAAAACAACAGTTTGAAAGAGAAAATCCTAAAAACAACCAGAACAGGACGTCAAAGAGAAAAGCCTATAACACAACCAGAACAGGACGTCAAAGAGAAAAGCTTAAAACACAACAAGATTAACAGGTCTTTAAAGAGTAAAGCCTAAGTAAAGCCTTGGTTAAGTAAAGCCTAAACCAAAACAACAGGTCGTCAAAGAGAAAAGCCTAAAGATACAACAAAAACAGGTCGTCAAAGAGAAAAGCCAAAAACACAACAAGAACAGGACGTCAAAGAGAAAATCTTAAAACACAACAAGATTAATAGGTCGTCAAAGAGTAAAGCCTAAACCAAAACAACAGGTCGTCAAAGAAAAAGCCTAAACAAAAACAACAGGTCGTCAAAGAGAAAAGCCTAAAGATACAACAAAAACAGGACGTCAAAGAGAAAAGCCTAAAATCACAACAAAAACAGATCATCAAAGAGAAAAGCCTAAAAACACAACAAGAACAGATCGTCAAAGAGAGAAGTCAGAAAAACAACAAGAACAGGCCGTCAAAGAGAAAAACCTAAAATCACAAGAACAGTTCGTCAAAGAGAAAAGCCTAAAGATACAACAAAAATAGGACGTCAAAGAGAAAAGCCTAAAAACACAACAAAAACAGATCGTCAAAGAGAAAAGCCTAAAACAAAAAAAACAAAAACAAAAACAAACAAAAAAAAAACAAGAGGCCCAGGGGCCACATTGCTCACCTGAGCAATTATCTAGGAAAAAGCACATATCAGATCAGAAGTGAAAGTTTACTGAGGGGGGGGGGGGGGGGAAAAGGGGCATATTGTAATTTTAACCCACCAGTGGGTCATGATTTGAACAAACTAGAATCTACACTACCTGAGGATGATTTCCTATAAATATCACTAAGTATGGCTTTGAAGTACTTGAAAAGAAGATTTTAAAAGGTTTTCCTATATATTCCTATGTAAAACTTTTATCGGCCATTTGGCCCAACCCTACCCCCGGGGGTCATGATTTGAACAAACTTGAATCTACACTACCTGAGGATGATTCCACATAAGTTTCAGCTTTTCTGGCCCAGTGGTTCTTGAGAAGAAGATTTTTAAAGATTTTTCCTATATATTCCTATGTAAAACTATGATCGGCCATTTTGGCCCCACCCTACCCCCGGGGGTCATGATTTGAAAAAATTTGAATCTACACTACCTGAGGATGATTCCACATGAGTTTCATTTTTCCTGGCCCAGTGGTTCTTGAGAAGAAGATTTTTTAAAAATGTCATTAATTTTTCTCTAATTCATATTTATCTCCGCTTGGAAAAGGGCGTGGCCCTTCATAAGCTTGAATCCCCTTTACTTAAGGATACTTTGTAGCAAGTTTGGTTGAAAATGGCCCAGTGGTTCTTGAGAAGAAGATGAAAATGTGAAAAGTTTACGACAACAACGACAACGACAGACAAATTTTGATCAGAAAAGCTCACTTGAGCCTTCGGCTCAGGTGAGCTAAAAACAGGAAGTAAAAGAGAAAAGCCTAAAAGCACAACAAGAACAGGTCGTCAAAGAGAAAAGCCTAAAAACACAGCAAAAACAGGTCGTCAAAGAAAAAAAAACTAAAAATACAACAAAAACAGGTCGTCAAAGAGAAAAGTCTAAAGTACAACAAGAACAGGTCGACAAAGAGAAAAGCCTTAAAACACAACAAAAACAGGTCGTAAAAGACAAAAGCCCAGTTCACAAGAAAAGGACGTAAAAGAGAAAAGCCTAAAAACACAACAAGAACAGGTCGTCAAAGAGAAAAGCCTTGTGGCAACGAAAAAATTTTTCAAAGTGCGTTAAATTGGGGACACATTCAACGCGCTTTGAAAAAAATTTTCAAAGTGCGTTAAGAGTGTACATCAACATTTTAAACTATGGGGACTTTTAACGCACTTTGAAAAAAAATTATATAAAAAAAATTTACACTTAGATCGTAGTAATTGAGAAAATAATTTTGTAATAATTGATATTTTAAAAGAAAACCTTTTTAATTTTCATGTATTGATTTACCCTAATTGAAAACAAGGTGAAGACAAGTAGAAGGACTATACTCTCAGCCTAACTCTTATACATTGTACATAGCTGTCGGTAGAAAATTGAAAGTGGAGCCCAATTTTCAATGCCTACAATATATAATGGTATATCTTTAAATGCAGAACATGCATTTGTGTGCGTAACACCCCACCCATCCCCCCGCCTGTACTGATACTTATGCTACACCCAAATATATGTATTATTTTGCATAACTACTATGATGTTGAAAACTTTCAATAAATTTTAGTTGACAAAAAATGTATGCAAAATGAAAAATTTAAGTACAGTAAAACATTTAAGAGAGAAATAATTTTCAAAGTATAGAAAAATCAAAATCGCTCTCTTTCACATCCTGGAGTGACCCTATTACCGAAAAGTTATCCAAAAGGTTCAATTATTTATCATACCTAAGATTTGGAAAAAAAATTGACCAAGCCATACATTTTTATTTCAAAGTGCGTTAATATCGTCGATATTAACGCACTTTGAAAAGAAAATTTATTTTTTCAAAGTGCGTTGATTTGGTCCCAAATCTAACGCACTTTGAAATTTTTTTTTCAAAGTGCGTAATTTTTCAAAGTGCGTTGTAACAAAGCCTATAAAAACACAAGAAAAACAAGGACAAGTCCCCCTTTTCTGATCAGGATACTACACCTATTGAAGATTTTAGCAGTTAGTCGTAAAAAAAGATGCATATCTCGGTACAGAAAAGCTGCAAACACCACAAGAATAGGTTCTCCGAAAAAATATATTGATAGACCGAGAGAGCTACAGAAACACACCCATTGAAAAAAACTGTATATTTATTGCGCACAAAAAAGTGCGCTCGGTTCTTGATTAATTCGTCAAAATTCTCACCTCAATTGCAAAAATGGAATATTTCAAAATATTCCTTTCTCCTCCATCAAGTACTCGCGTAGTTAACATCTGAACGAAGCAGTTGGACCGAATTATCTTTGAAACCAAAATGGCTGTATAAGTAAGCGAAATGTTCGATGATTACAATATCAGGGTCAAGAGGACTATTTACCACAATTATGAGGAATGTTTGGTCGTGGAAACAGTGAAAGAATGTGTTAGGGACATACGGTTAGTAATATTTTGAGATTACATTTTTTAAAACACATAGAAATAAATCGAGAACCGAGCGCACTTTTTTGTGCGCAATAAATATACAGTTTTTTCAATGGGTGGCACTGTAGCTCTCCGGTCTATCAATATATTTTTTCGGAGAGCTACAGATCTGCAGCTAGGTACATCAACACAAAATAATAGCGTAAAATTGTCGATGTAATTACTCGGATATTTTAGTTAGAATAACCTCGACAAATTAAAAAAATCCTTGAACTATATCATGAAAAAGAAAAAAAAAACGGACCTACCTGTGAGTAAGCAATAACGACTAAAAGGAGAAATATTTTCATTTCGGAAAACCGTAGAAATACCTAATAAACCTGTGTAATGAGAGAGGGCACCTGCTAAACTTAATATAGACAGAAAACAGGTCGGAATATTATCTGTAAGTACAACAGAATTTGTAAGATAAGAAATATTATGACGCTGCAACAGTATAGTGCCCACGATGATACTTAATATTAAAACTCTGAGAATGATTCGAAATTCTCTACTTAGAAGTCATAATATGTATCTCCTTTGTCTTATTAACCATTTTTCAGTACATGTAGACAGTTGCAACCTCTTAATAGCTTCTGCCATGTTGTCACAAAATTAGTTAAAGAAAGTTGGGGAATCATGTGACATGTAACAGGTATTTTGTCACCAATTTTTGTGTTCAGATTTTTTATCAAACATATATTTCGGAGTGAACTTAAGGATTGAGTGGGGGGGGGTCATTTTATTTTAGTTAACAACTTCATATCTGTCTGTCAATGTGTCTTCTACTAGTCCTACCTCTGCAAAAGGGGTCCGAGAGAATGTCGGGGAGGGGTATTATTAGTTATGTAGATACTTAGAGGGGTAATACGGAAATATGAGGGGTCCTTCAAAAAATGCATATTGGGCAAGGCGTAAGCCTTTGGAAGTCAGTGATGATATATATCTCCAGTTTGACTTTTGACTCTGTGACCTCAACTTTCAAAGAAATCATTTACTCTTTACGGAAAACCGGTGTACAAGTTTTGATGTCTGCCAAGCAATAGATATATATAAATTATTTGACCCTTAAATTTGACCTTGTGACTTCAAATTACTCCTTGTATTGGAAGCTTGTGTTCTTATTTAAATGTCTTTCAAAGAAAATACTTTTGAGATATTGAGCGGTCGGTATCTATGTACAGTTTGATCCAAAGCTTTCAGCTTGTAACCTCAAAATCCAAACGGTTCGTCTACATTGTACGCAATGTACTAAGTAGTACTAAAAGTTTTCTAGACAATCTTCCTATGTCAGTAATTAAACACGTGAACTTTGACCTTGTGACCTAAAAGTCTACCGAGATTACTATTATTTAGTGGAAACCAGTGTACCAATTTTGATGTATGTCAAGCAAAAGGGTTCCTAACATAATGAGCTATCGATATCTTCCTTTCTCGGTTTGTCTCTTGATCTTTGATCTTGTGACCCAAAAATCAATACTGAAGTGTCATCTTCTTTTCAAGGAAAACTAATACCGATAAAGGCTGCTCAATATAATGTTCTTGACTTTTGAACTCAAAATAAACAGCAGTCATTAATATTTCAGGGGAGTCCAGTGAACCAAATTTGATATCTGCCAGACAAAGGGTTCAGTTTTCAAGATACTGAGTGGGCAACACTTGACCAACCAGTGCAGATTAAGCAATGTGCTCACTTTTCTACTGGGGGCATAAAAAAAAACCTGAAATTTTTTTTCTCAATTAAATTACCCATTTATGGAAAACATATCAAGTGAAATAAAATCAATTTCAGAAAATTAAAGTGCACTCGGCACAATATTTTCGTTATAGGCAAAGTTTTTTAATGGAGTTCATTAGCATTTATACATATACTGGTACAACATCGTCTCTTTTAGTTTCCTTGAGTTCAATGTTTTATCATCATTGGCTTTAATTAAGAGTCATATGTTTGGCTAACTACAACTTAACAAGATAAAGAAAACAGCCAAATTCTCACGGAGTTTTCAGCACTTCAGTTTGTTTATCGCGCACCACTTCTCTTTGTTTAGAGCATTACAAGTATTTTGAAATAAGTGCATTGCATAAGAACACAGACGTATTTTTTTTTCTTTCCCTGAGTTTGATTTATTAGAGCTGTAACCTGGGAATGTAAGATTGGCGTGAACCTCCTGGTCAGTTGAAACACCTTCAATGCTGGTATCGAATTTCTTTTTCACCTGGTGACTCTGGGAGATTTGAGGAGATACATTTTTCCTCGTAAGTTGGAGTACATTCCACGTCGGTTTGTTTATTAACGTGGATCAAGTTTTTACTATCATTTCATTTGCAGATCACCTATTTTGTGAGACCTGGGTTTATCGTATCTTTTAATTTAAAGGGCCCCAAAAGCTGGAGGAGAATTCATTTAATAAGTAAAGACTGGTTCCGCATCGGTGACCACACTGAATCGTCACATCGAGATGTGACGGAGGAAAAAAAACAGGACTTCTGTTTCTAAAAATGATGGATACTTGCTCAGAATGAAGATTCTGTCAGTTTATCTTGGCATTTTGTTCTTTTTGAGTACAGTAAGTACACATTTCATTTTTTTTTTCATTTTATAAATTAATTTTTAATAGGATTAAAGTTTAATAAACCTACTTTGTTGAAATAGCATGCGAATGTTCAGTTGTTACGCGATGTCAGGAACATTAACTATCAATATTGTGTTAGGTGTTCATTGGATTTTGACTTTACACATTTTGTGTGTATTAAATGGGAGAATTTACTTTTCTTATCCTGTATTTTATGCTTGACCTGAAGGCAAATATTCAGTTAAATTCCATATAAACTTATGTAAATTAGACTTTAACAAAATTTTATTTTATAAATTTTGAACCTGAAATTCAGTGTATAAATTCCTAGGTCTTTTGAATTGTGTTCTTATAATATTCTTATTTTACTAGTAGTCTTCAGACTGCATAGTTTGTTAAATTAAGGCTTGAATTGTGCATACTAGTATTAAATGTCAAATGTTAGGAAAAATAAACTAAGTTTCTTACATCAGGGTCTCGCACTTTCTGCAGATCACCACTTCGCTTCATGTATATAAATGTATGTTTTTCGGTGTTTTAAATTATTATTTTTATTTATATATACAACAATTGGGGCATGTCACTTTCTTTTTATATAGGATTCTGTAATTTCTCGCTAGTTGCTTGACAATGGACGTCGAGACGATGGTATTTTTTCTTCTTTTTAGACGTGAAAGTTTACACAAGGAAAGCCATGTATTTCTCTAAACAAGAGATAACATTTAAACAAATGGTTCTTATGAACGGTCCCAGATACCAGCTAATAACTAAAACTGAATGAATAGGCCAGTGACCCCCGTATAGTCGTCTATCAGACCCAATTAATCTAGCTAATCTCTTTTTCCAATCATTTTTCAATTATCATTGTACAAAAATAAAATGAGGTATGAATTCGTCAGTATTGTCTGCACGTGGGTCGAGTTTTCATACTAAATTCATCTATGTATATATTACAAGATGTTCAACATTTAAACATATGCAAACGAGCTAAATTTAGCAATCGTAAGTTTACATTTCTAAGACATGAATAGGAAATTTCCCCATATTTCAGTGATTAAAATCAATGCTAGATCTGACTATGATACTATCACAAATATAGATAACCATACTATTTTTAAAAGTTTTATTTGCTGACATTTGTGATTTTTAGCCTGGGAGATTCATTCAGATAAATTTATACTTGCAAACATACAAAAATATATACAAGAATACTAGTAATTCTTTCGTTGAACTTCATAATGATATTTAAAAACAAAAAGAACTGCATCATAATTAACAACAATGTTATTGAATAGCATCAAACATGTCATATAATTGTTTTGATTAATATCCAATGAATCTGCTCATTTATTCTAAACGTCAACTTATCTGGCTATACACCGCTGAAATTAACGTTTTTGGTCCCTTTTCCTGAAGGTCACGGGCGACTTTTGGAGTCCCTGGTCACCATGGAGCAATTGTTCCCGCACTTGTAATGGTGGCGCCACCTTTCGGAGCAGACGATGTATCAAAAACCAGAGTATGGGATACGGTTGTCGTGCCGAAGACGTCCAGTATAAATTATGTAATGCTCAGGTAAATTTATTGAGGACCACGTTCATGCAATGTCATGACTCCGAAGTCATTTATCACAGAAAAATATGACCGAATTTCTGTTCTTCATAATGGATATATTCTAGGTTAAATAGTAGATGTGATAATGTGGAAGCTTACAAAAAGAACTATTTGTTGCTTTGAAAGGTTTTGAATATAAGTATTATAATAAAAGCTTACATGTAGATCTGTAAGAACGATCCACGGCTACGAAGAGCGTTAGTGACGTCAATATAATGTATAGATCTATACAGTATAAAGTGAGAACAATGGTAAACCATTGTATCTGTACTCTCTTATTGGAGGATACAGGAACAGAGCATTAGTTTGATTTCTTTTAAAAGTCAATTAATTTGCTCCTTGAATAATTGCTCTGCATTCCTAGTGTACAGACACTTGGACAAAGATCGTATTCAAAAGGCAGAATTCGAGTGGTTGGTTGAAGGAGATGAGAGATAGAAACTCTTTGATTGGAGCATTGTTAAATAAATGTTTTCTGTAGAAGTAAGAACTCCCACTGCATTGGAATTTTTGTAAGAAAGAGATCTGTAGTGTAAAGAACTTGTTAATTCGATTCTTCTTAAGTGATTTTGTGTATAAATCGACTTCAGATGCCATTGTTGGCGTGGGTTCGGAAGTTTATGGGAGTTTAATTTTTACATCAGCTTTAACTTTGATTAAAATTAAGAACTTATGAACACTTAGTCCATTCGCAATACAACTGAGCATCCCCCGTTTTTTTTTTGTTTTTTTTTTTTCGGAGAAAAATGAGATAAAAGATAAGTTACACGAAGCATATACATAAAAAACGTCTGTTTAGGTAGTGAAGAAAAGTTTGTTTATTGTTATCATAGCGTAAAATATCTGCCAGGGAAGAGAAATGGGTTGTAAGGTATCCTTCATCGTTAAGAATTGGATTGTTATTTATGTTTCATACATATCCGCCCATCTTCATTAATATCTGTTTAATAATAGAGGATGGACAAACAGGGTGAGCACTAAATAGCGATTTATCCCCATAAATGACCACTACACTGAGGTCTGGCGCGTCAGGTTTCAATTAGCCACATACTGGGGGAGCTATTCTATCATTTGTTACATGATATTTTTTGTTAAATCTTTCTCACACCCATGAGGAAGAGAAAATGAAAATTTGACATTACAAGCAATTAAGATTGTTGGTCTGGTAATGTACATCGCCACCCCGATAGTCCATGGCTGTAGATCTGCGAAGTCACCTGTTTAAAATTTAAAGAACTGTTTAGGTCGTACATTTACAAGTTTTTTCCCTTCAGAAACAATCCGTACAATTACACTTGTGCACTGTTGGTGACACACGTATTCATAAATTTTCTTAAAAACTTGCTGTGATTTTTCAATTTCAATCCAGGCAAAACTTGGTTGCTATGTGTCATGGATACCATGGCAACATTACCATGACAGCAGCCTTTGTTAGTTCAAATTATTGCACCTGGATTGGGCCACAATAGCAGATCAAAGTCTATATACTAGTAAGAAAAAAATCATTAAAATTCTTTCTCTTATGAAGAATAAAACCGTTATTAACCAAATTGATGCGGCAGACTGGCAGCATAGTCAGATAGTTTATATACTAAATAATATTGATGAATCCCAATGCTGTGTGGATTCAACTTTTATTAAAATCATAGTTCTCTTAGAGCTAGCCTTTCGTCCTCGATATATAGTCAAAATAATTTAAAATTCGAACGATTTTAATCAGCTGATGGGGAACAGCAGGGGCATTATGTCGACAAAATAGATTAAGAATGGTTGGCAGTTTTTGTCATGGCTTTATTGATTAATAGTCAAATCAATCATCAATTCAATCAATAGTCAAAATCAATCATCAATATAATCAATAGTCAAATCAATCATCAATACAATGAATACAATGATGTACACAAGGTATCTCTACAATGATGTACATAAAGTATCAATTCAATGATGTACACAAAGTGTATATTGAATAATTAATACACAATGGGTACAATGATATTCAATGATAAACAATGATATTCGATCAATGATGTACGCAAAGTGTGTACATGTATTTACAATGGGTACAATGATATTCAATGATATGCATTGATATGCAATAATATGCAATGGTATTCAATGACATACAATGATATTCAATGATAAATGAATTGCAATGAGCAGGTAGCAATGTATTACAAAGAAAATGGTCTACGTCGACTTTATCAATAGTATATGACGTAGAATCAATAGCAATGGCACAATGACGGAAGCTCAATTATTGGCCACTGGCCCTGGAAGATAACAGGATCAGCAGCGAGCTTCTAGCAAAATTCGATTCAGCATTAAAAAACAGTCTGTACGAAGAACATATACTTTGCATTTCAATGAGTCGTAATAAAGCCATGACGCTTATAGGTCCTTTTGGTATCCAAGGGAACTGAGGTTACGGGTCCTATCGCTGGTAGCCAAGGACAGCGGAAATGGATTCTTCTGCTTGAGGACAAGGGAACGGATGTAATGGATTCTTCTGCTGGTTGCCAAAGGAATGGATGTAATGGATTCTTCTGCTGGTAACCAAGAGAATGGATGTTAACTGAAAAAGGAAATCAAAGACAGCAGCAACATTTTGTTGACACAAGAGAACAATTCATCAAAATCATGTAAATTGGGAGAGGTGGGTGGGATGCTGAGCTTCAATGGCTGACGGAAGATGGAAAGGAAGAGCAAATGCACATGCGTACTGGATGTGACTAAATGAAGTCAGTGCATTTGAGTGAGAGTTATCTCGCCTGAACTATTTATCTCTATTTGTCTCCATAACGGGACTTAACTCATATTGAGTTAAGTCGGATTATGTCGACAAAATAGATTAAGAATGGTTGGCAGTTTTTGTCATGGCTTTATTGATTAATAGTCAAATCAATCATCAATTCAATCAATAGTCAAAATCAATCATCAATATAATCAATAGTCAAATCAATCATCAATACAATGAATACAATGATGTACACAAGGTATCTCTACAATGATGTACATAAAGTATCAATTCAATGATGTACACAAAGTGTATATTGAATAATTAATACACAATGGGTACAATGATATTCAATGATAAACAATGATATTCGATCAATGATGTACGCAAAGTGTGTACATGTATTTACAATGGGTACAATGATATTCAATGATATGCATTGATATGCAATAATATGCAATGATATTCAATGATATACAATGATATTCAATGATAAATGAATTGCAATGAGCAGGTAGCAATGTATTACAAAGACAATGGTCTACGTCGACTTTATCAATAGTATATGACGTAGAATCAATAGCAATGGCACAATGACGGAAGCTCAATTATTGGCCACTGGCCCTGGAAGATAACAGGATCAGCAGCGAGCTTCTAGCAAAATTCGGCCATATGTCTTCACATGGGAGCTAATAAAGCGCAGCATGTGAAGACATCCGCCACATGCGGCAAATTTTGCCCACACCATGACAAAACTGCTACTTATTACAATTATGTAAAATTAATTACTGCTTGATATATATGCAGTATACTGTAGAACTAGGGAAATTTTATACGCTGATCAATAATATATGTAAATATGTAATGATCAATAACTTTTCAATAGATCAATAGTTGCAAAGATCAATTATATAATGATCAATAACTGTTCAATAGTTCAATAGTTGCAAAGATCAATAATATACAGTAATGTTCAATAACTAAATGGAAATGGTAGGTAGCACTGCAAATTTTGACAAATTATTTTGATTATGTCACACTGAATGGTATAGAGAATAATTGTAGAATGTGCTATATGGGAAAGGTGATCACCCTCTGGATTGACGAGCCCTGTTGAATATTGGGGTAGTGACTACACCCCAAACCCTTGTTGCGATCAACCATTATAATGAGCTATATATCCTAATGCAAACCTTGTGTGACAACATGGGCCTGAAATAATCTCTTGGCAGCATTTCTGACCCAATAAATTTTAACCTTGGTATTAAATATAATTGAAAACAAGACAGTCAATTTCATAAACTTTTGTAGATGGCAAAGGGACATGGAACCAATACTATTACCCACAATGTATCATTATGACATGTGGGTTGTTGTGTTATGACACTAGAGTTCGAATATCTGAATGGTGGGACCTTTTTCCAGGTCATTCCTTGTTGACCAAATCATCTGATATGGATGTTGTATTGTTTTAAGTCCGATTCGCATTATCTAAATTGATGAATGTGTGATTTTTTGCATAATACTAGTAAAGATGATGCAATAACCCATACAGAAGTGCCTGCAAACTTATAATAAATTTAAAAACAGTAAAAAGGTGTTGTCAAGTGTGACTGTCAAGTATGACTAAAATTGAATGAAAGTCAGAAATGCATGGGCTTCCATCTCCCTTTAATCTTTATATAATCTTCAGAGCAGCCTGATAAATTCAAGTGTGTAGCACCCCCCAGTTCTAAGAGTATTACCCTTAAATGTTTCAGAGTCAAAGCCAAGAAATGAAATAAATTTCTGTGGTATTAAAGTAATGGAATGACGAGAAGAACGTGGAATGTTGGGTCGAAATGACAAGTAGCTGTGAAGTATTTTAAATAATGGAGATGTTTCTTGGTTTAACAAAATGTGGAAGATATATATTCGTGTATAATTATGCTTTTTTTTTTTTTTTTTTTTTTTTTTTTTTAATTATTTATTTATTTATATATAATTGCCTATTTATTTATTATCATATTTAAACATAATTTTTTAAATTATGGGCTAAAGCTGCATTGTGAAATCTTCAGCTACATGCCACACTTTCTGATAAAACTTTACTGTTTAATGAAAATTGAATGACAAATGCCATGGCATTGAACAATACTGCATTTAAAAGGTGGGCTTATTGAAATTGACAATAATCAGCTAAACAAATTTTAACTTTTTAGAAATGTGCTCTGGGATGAATATGTTTTGGCATAACCATATGTTTGTTACTCATACGAAAATTTATTCCGCCATTTCACATGTATTTTGTATATTATTTTTTGTATATATTGTACATATATTGTTGAACGTCATGTACCATTTATACGGTTTGAATGAAGAACTTGAACTTCCACTTGGATTGTGGAACTTTTGAACTAGAACAAGAAATGTTAAATTAGTGGTTGGGCCTTAATTTTAACGTGAATTAATTGAAATTTCTATTTCCTGACAAGTTTGTTAGCGTTTAGGTACATGTAGTTTCTAACATACTAAAAAATATTCCTTGAAACTTATTTATTCGTTTTATCTATTTTATGTTAAATGCAATATGTGGCTTACTTGAATTTATTTATTGTTCCTGTCTTGGTTAAATGTATTATAATATATGATTATTGTTGTCTATCTGCAGTTGTTATTTACTATTTAGAAAAAATATTTAAATGTATTGTGACATCTGAACAATGACAAAATAGAGAAGATTTGTAAACAATGCCATACGATCCCTTTATCCCATTACAGCACGTGTGTCAATCCCATACATCTAAATCCTCCCTATTTGTTTCCATTCGTATGTGTATCAATAATCGGTAATCTAAAACAAGGGATTGAAAACTGGATTAATTGAAATTTCTATTTCCTGACAAGTTTGTTAGTGTTTAGGTACATGTAGTTTCTAACACACTAAGGAATTCTTGAAACTTATTTATTTGTTTATCTATTTTATGTTATTATAATACGATGTTAGGCCTACAATTTTAAACTGATTTAATTGGAATTTTTTATTTCCTGACTATTTTGTTGAAATGTTTAGGTAGTTTCTAATAATCTTAGAATTCCTGGAATTTATTTATTTTAAATAAGTGGTTGGGCTTTCAATCTTAATCAGCGTTAATTGGAATTCCTATTTCCTGACAAGTTTGTTGAAATGTTGTAGTTTCCCACACTATTTATTTATTATTATTGATTCATTGATTAGATTTTATTCATTTCTTATTTTATCTATTTAGTTATTAATTTATTTTTGTTACCTACTGACTGACAATCCAATGGAGTTTATAGATGACAATTTTTCCCAAAGTAAGACGTCTTTGAACACCCAAGGAGCATGCACTTACAAACTCTGGACACTGAATATTTTGCTCAAGGAAATCATTTCATTTTCATCGTAACTTTTAAGGATCGTAAAATAACATTTCATGCATTATTTTATGCAAATTCATCATCATAAAATACTTTACTTTTCACTATAAACATTACAATTCCAAGTTTCCAAATGAAATTCTATTTACAACACAAATAGACATCACAATATACACCAACTTGCTAAACACAATCTTACCAAATCTATGGTATATGAACGTGACCTGTAGATGGTTCCCTTCTCAATCAGTCATACCTTACCCTCAACGCTCATACTCCCTGTCAGAACTGTGACTCTTTCTTCAAAAATATTTCTCGACCAGTGTACAACATGGAGGCACAAACAATGGTGGTGATGATCGATGTGATTTCAATGCAAAAATAAATGAATAAACATTGAATAAATGGCATATATCAAGACAAGCACGAGTGTTACAACAAGACTGTCAAGAGATGAGCTGATTGATGCGCAAATAATTCAATTAAATGGCAAGTAAATATTAACAATTAAATTAACAAAGGGTTAAATGCCACTATGGTTGAATTCGCAGAAAATGTCTTTCTAAAGGTTCATTCACAGCCAAGTTCCTTGCTGCACTTAAAAATTAAAACAATTTTACCGACACGTTTGTTTACACGGAATCCATGATGGATGGAATATTTTGCAGTCCGAACCCGATGATATGTGACACCGATCTATGTCGTGGCGGATCCAAGAGGCACGTGACCACTGCATGGTGGCTGTTGGTAATGTCCAATGTATGTGGGCACCATTTGTAAACGTTGGTTTTAATAACAACGAAAAGTTTGTTTTGATTTCACCAATGTATTAATACACTGAGGTCATGTTCTCAAACAAAAGTCCGTCTAGGTGGTCGCTGCACACGTGGTTAATATCGTCGTTGGGGATGTTGATCCTTTAGATATGCTATGATAATATTCACACATCGGGTAAAATAGATGGACCCTTAGTCCAGGATTTATTTGCCCTGATTATGTTCATATTTCCGTCGTTGGATGGTCAAAGGAACACAAGATGAAGATGAATATTGTTGAGACTAAACTCGATGCTGAGCTTCAATGGCTGACGGAAGATGGAAAGGAAGAGCAAATGCACATGCGTACTGGATGTGACTAAATGAAGTCAGTGCATTTGAGTGAGAGTTATCTCGCCTGAACTATTTATCTCTATTTGTCTCCATAACGGGACTTAACTCATATTGAGTTAAGTCGGATTATGATTCAGATGATCGTTGTACCTCATAACCATTAACCAAGGGTCTCTAGTTTTAAAGATAATTAGCAAATGTTGTTGCAAAGAATAACTTGATCTGTAATTAAGAGTGTAATATGGATGACAATGATCTTTATTAATTAGGAGTGTACATTGGATGACAATGACCTTTATTAATTAGGAGTGTACATTGGATGACCCTGATTTCCGAGCTGTTCAGTGCTCGTCCTTTAATAACAAGCCGTACTCCGGGAGGTATCTGAAGTGGATCCCCTACCATGACTCCACCAGTCCGTGTGCCCTATACTGCCAAGCAGTGGGTCCTGATATAACCCACAGGTTCGCCAACAAAGCACTGGATGGAACTAGATGCCGAAATGGTTCCAAAGATATGTGCATTGATGGCAAATGCTGGGTAAGTACAGATAGAGATACTGTTAGTATTCCAATATTCACCTCAATTTTCTATTTATGATACTAGTACAATTTTTGCAACTTTTGAAAAAAAAAACGTTCTTCTTTATAGATGATATTTTACGATTAACTTAGAGTATTGTATAAATTTACAATAAAAGATATTACGATATTTTGCTTTATAAATGAATATGGTCCTACATTGTTGAGGTTGGCTTGCATGGCGTATTATCTTTTTATTTAGAATATCTAACATAGATCTTTTAAAATAATATGTAATATAACATTTTTAGCACGTAGGATGTGATAATGTACTTGGGTCAAAAACAGAGGTGGATAAATGTGGTATCTGTGGGGGAAACAATTCATGTATCACCCAGAAGCATGCCAAATTTCAGTGGACACAATCTGGATTCGGTGAATGTTCATCGACTTGTGGTGTAGGTAACATGCTTTTTTTACTCAAGCCCTAGAGGGGCTTGTTTACTCAAGCCCTAGAGGGGCTTGAGTTATCTAAAACGATGCTAGGTCATCGATTTACTCAGTTAAAAAACACGAAAAGCTATTATTTTTGTAGATTAAAATATTTCTAGAGACAAAAATGAAGCTTATCTCAAAAAAGTCTGTATACTCAAAGATATTAAGCGTTAAATAGCGGATTCTTGTCTATGGCGAATGAACATTGAGTGAAGCTCCGCAGTCGCAACAGTTTCTATACTGAGATTTCGCGCTTTCCTTTGCGTAGGAATCTCAGGTAACTTTTACAGACGCCGACAAAGCATCTTTGGACGAGTCCACTGTTTACTCTGAAAGGTGACGCAGGTTACCCAATCTTTAACAAATTCTACCATGCATGGCAAGAAAATGTATGGTTGTACCCCCCATATTGAAATTGCTTGTCACGGGCCTGAGAATGACGTACATGTACACTTTGAGTGACAGTAAAATAATTGCACAACATTCATTTTTTTTAATTTCAAAAAATCGTACTAATTATCTTCAGCTTTGGTAACGGAACCTATATATATAACTTCTTTTGGATTTGTCCGGAATATGTGTTAGACATGCCGCACAGCCAGATGCAGCTTTTCTCATTGTCAATTACTATTAGTACCAATTTTCACACTACATTTTTCGTACATCACTAATAGTGGGGGGGGGGACAACTAGACTTTCAATTAACATTTCCTATACTATAAGTAAGGTTGCGGAAAAAAGTGGGGGAGGGGGGAGGCTGCCCCCCCCCCTGTTGCTACGCCCCTGAGATGAACCCGTAGTCACGTGGATTTTTGGGAGCACGGACTCGGGAGCCCCCCCCCCCAATCCACTATGAAAAACGATTCTACTCTACCTGTAGGCTTGTAACAAGCTATTTGGACTGATATGTATTAAATTGTGTACTTGATTAAGCAAAAATTCATCTTAAAAAGTAGTACAATTGATTATATTTATTCTAATTAAATTCAATATATGAATTTTGTTTCATGTACACATGTATATTTTATTCAACAGAAGATTGAACTCGATAGCCCTCATCGTATACCATTTATATAATAGTGTTGCATTATGCATGTACTATGCCTAAATAGTAGGCAGGGTTTGACACATGGTGCACGAGCCGGAGGCGAGTGCACTATGTGTCAAACCCTGCCTACTATTTAGTCATAGTACATGCATAATGCAACACTATTGTTATTATTATGCTGACTGTTGTTATTATTTATGCGGCAATCCATTTGATTTTTTCTTGAAAATAATGGTGGTAACACAGCGCACTTGCAAAAACTCATTCAAAATCTTCATGCTAAAATTAGTTGCATGCTTATTTATTTTGGTTACTAGTATTTTCTCTAAATAAGTCAGAATTTTCTGTCCCAGAGATACTCATCTTTATTTTCTGTTTTGTTAGTAAGACTGATTTGTTTACAGACGTGGATTCTCATTGATAATTTTCTTTTACATCCTTCAATCAAGCGCTCTATAAAAAAGCGTTTTAATGACCCCATGATTGTATAAATTAAGTTTATATATTTAACAAGTAGAGCTTTTCAAAAAAGCTTACCGTCTTTAGCAACAATTTTAAACAGTAAACAGATCTATACTTAACACGCCATATAATTCTTTTTGAATTTCGTGTTTCTAAATTAGCTTTTTACGGGCATTAGCCCTACCATGGTTGTCGCTCGGTCATCTCAGTAAACTTTGACTGGCCGAGAGCTTTCGGCAAACCTCGGCTGCTTCAAACAAGAAAGGGGAAATGAATAATAACAAATTGTAAAGCCTGCAAGCAATAACTATCAAATTTTATTTAAAATGAAATTAAAGAGACCTTTTTATTTATTGCTATAAAAAATATCATGTTATTAAGAAATAATTACTGCTGATTTTGTTGTTCGTTTTGTCATTTTTTTAAGATTGGAAATCTTGCAAAATTGTTAAGTCGTACGAAAAATAGATCATCAGAAAGTTATCTCCCTTGTCTTGAACAGCATTTTAACCAATGAAATAATTGAAAATTTTCTCATCATGCAATTTCTACCAATCACAAAAGAGAGGAAGTGCATAGTCCGAAGACTGTAAAAAACTTCAACTATACTATACCGTCTTCCAAGGAAGACGGTAATAAAATTCTCCTAATCAGTGATCGTCTCTGTGGCGTAATCGATAAGGCATCGGACTGTCAACCTCATGGTCGTCAGTTCGATTCCCGGTGTGTGCATTGATGCATTTTATTCAGAAGATAAAGCCGTGCACTATTTCGGCATAGTATGCTTACGCTATATAAATCCTTAGACCACTATGCGAGAATAGTAGGGTATGGGTTATCTAGAGACAAACTGACAGGAAGCATAATAATATAGGATATTAATGACACTTTTTAGTTGACTTTCTACAGCTTGAGTATCTCTGACGTTTTGTCAGTATATACTTGTTTTATTTTCTCATGCAATTTAACGACATTTTTCTCCTTTGAGAACTATCCTTTTAAGTAGATTGTGTTTATGTAAAATTCTTAGAAAATTTTTCCTTCTGCAAAGCTGCCAGTATTTTAAGTAATATAACATCAGTGTGATTCCTCACTATATCTTTAAGCAATTACCTCCATAGCAGAATTTAGTTTTTCCTTGAGTTCTTTTTTACATCAAGGACATAGAAGAACAAAGGTGGTTTGTAAAAATCGAGTAACAGGAAAACGAGTCAGCAATAAAAGATGTCAGGGAGATAAAAGACCAAAAGGGAAAATTAAGGCCTGTCAAAGACGGGAATGTGGAGAAAGGTAAGAGGACCACAAATATACACTCAAACCTGTCAAGTAGGGGAATGTGAAGAAAGGTAAGAAGACCACAAATATACACTCAGACCTGTCAAGTAAAGGACAATGGAGAAAAGTAAGAGGATCACAAATATACACTCAGACCTGTCAAGTACAGGAGTGTGGAGAAAGGTGTGGAGGTCAGGCGGGTTCGATCGCCGATGGCAAGATAGCTCAGTTGGTAGAGCACCTGACCGGAGTTTCAGGGGGCCCGGGTTCGATTCCCGGTCTGGTCCACTGCATTTTTCTCCTCTCCCGTTACAATACATTTGGTGCTGTGACTAGGATCTGGAACTGACAGGCGAGAGGCCTGCCAGGGATGAGCCTGGGTAGGGTTCTTTAGAGGGCCAAAGACCTTTAATGAGGGTGGAATGTGGCAGTCAGCCGGGTTCGATCACCGGTGGCCAGAGAGCTCAGTTGGTAGACCACCTGACCAGAGTTTCAGGGGGCCCGGGTTCAAATCCCGGTCTGGTCCTCTGCATTTTTCTCCTCTCTCATTACAAAGGTAAGAGGACCACAAATATACACTCAGACTTATCAAGTATGGGAAAGAGGACCATAAATATACACTCAGACCTGTCAAGTAAACGAAAATGGAGAAAAGTAAGAGGACCATGTAAATATTCACTCAGACCTGTCAAGTACAGGTAAGAGGGCAACAAATATACACTCAGACCTGTCAAGTACGGGTAAGAGGACCACAAACATACACTTAGACCTGTCAAGTAGAGGAGTGTGGAGAAAAGTAAGAGGACCTGTTAAGTACAAGCATGTGGAGTGAGGTAAGAGCTCAAACCTATGAAGTACCAAAATGTGGACAGAAGGAAGTGGACCACAAACAATCACTCAGACTTGTAATTAGCAATGTGGATAGAAGAGGAGCACAAAATTAAACTTTTAAAAAGCAAAGAATGGGAACAGTGTGACAAAGGACAACTTATATACAGCTTGTGCTCTCAAACCTGTGAATTACAGGTTCATAAACAGAGTAAGAGGACCTCAGTCAGCCTTTTTATCATTAAGTATGAGAATGTAAAGAGACAACTCAGACAAGTAAGGAGACCACAAACATACGCTAAACTTATAATTTTGGGAATAACAAGAGATAAGAGGAGCCAGAACGTACCCGAAAGAGGAGTCGAAACTTAAACTAAAGAGGAGTACAAACTTACACTAAAGAAGAGTACAAACGTACACTAAAGAGGAGTACAAACTTACGCTAAAGAGGAGTACAAACATACACTAAAGAGGAGTACAAACGTACACTAAAAAGGAGTACAAACTTACACTAAAGAAGAGTACAAACTTACACTAAAGAGGAGTACAAACTTACGCTAAAGAGGAGTACAAACGTACACTAAAGAGGAGTACAAACGTACACTAAAAAGGAGTACAAACTTACACTAAAGAGGAGTACAAACTTACACTAAAGAAGAGTACAAACGTTCACTAAAGAGGAGTACAAACGTACACTAAACAGGAGTACAAACGTACACTAAAGAAGAGTACAAACGTACACTAAAGAGGAGTACAAACGTACACTAAAGAGGAGTACAAACTTACACTAAAGAGAAGTACAAACGTACACTAAAGAGGAGTACAAACGTACACTAAAGAGGAGTATAAACTTGCACTAAAGAAGAGTACAAACGTACACTAAAGAGGAGTACAAACGTACACTAAAGAAGAGTACAAACTTGCACTAAAGAGGAGTACAAACGTACACTAAAGAGGAGTACAAACTTACACTAAAGAAGATTACAAACTTACACTAAAGAGGAGTACAAACGTACACTAAAGAAGAGTACAAACGTTCACTAAAGAGGAGTACAAACGTACACTTAAGAGGAGTACAAACGTACACTAAAGAGGAGTACAAACTTACACTAAAGAAGAGTACAAACTTACACTAAAGAAGAGTACAAACTTACACTAAAGAAGAGTACAAACTTACACTAAAGAGGAGTACAAACGTACACTAAAGAGGAGTACAAACTTACACTAAAGAAGAGTACAAACTTACACTAAAGAAGAGTACAAACTTACACTAAAGAAGAGTACAAACGTACACTAAAGAAGAGTACAAACGTACACTAAAGAGGAGTACAAACGTACACTTAAGAGGAGTACAAACGTACACTAAAGAGGAGTACAAACTTACACTAAAGAAGAGTACAAACTTACACTAAAGAAGAGTACAAACTTACACTAAAGAAGAGTACAAACGTACACTAAAGAAGAGTACAAACGTACACTAAAGAAGAGTACAAACTTACACTATAGAAGAGTACAAATGTACACTAAAGAAGAGTACAAACTTACACTAAAGAAGAGTAAAAAGGAGCACAAAAACCACTCAAACATGGTGATATAGAGGAGCATAAACCTGTCAAGTACAAGAATGTGAAGAGAAGTAAAAGGACTGCAAAGGTACACTGAAGTTATAATAAAAAGGTAAGAGAACAACAAATGTACAGTCAGACCTGATAAGTTTAGAATCTGGAGAGGTGGGAAGAGCACCATCGGACTTCCAGACCTGTCAAGTACGACTTTGGAAAGAGGATAACTCAGACTTGTAAGTAGGGAAATAAGAAGACAAATCAGAGGACTACAAATCTGTACTCACACATATACTGTATCAAGTGTGGAAATGTAGAGAGAGAGGTGAGATAACCATCACGCTTGAAAGCTTAGCACAGTTGTATAAAGTTAAAATTTACTCATGATACCTCCTTGTAGAAATTCTTCATAAAAAGTTCGATGGAAGTAATTCAGAAAAGTAAAAAGAACCACAAGACGGATTAATGTTTTCAACTTTTATTATACAAAAATTGAGGGTATCAACCTACAATAACAGAGTACATCATAAAATCAAATATTAAGAAATGCTATTAAAATTATAAGATTTTCAAACTACTTAACGTTTTAACAAAGTAAACATTTTTTTAAAGTATTTTACAACTTACAAGTAGACAATTCAAAGTTAAATCAGATATTATACTCGTTAATATTAAAGCTATAACTTCAACTTCAAAAACACAATAAATAAAGGAGAAAAATTGCAATCAAAATAAATTCATAAATCATATCTTTAAATGGCAATGAAACCCTTAATCAACTTTCAAAAAAAAATCAAAAATTTTACACAGTATTTTTTATAAAATCTGATCAGTTTCAGGTACGACTGGGTATATGGACCTTGGAGTAAATGTTCGTGTTCTGTTAAGTTCACTCGGAGGTCCAGACGATGCGTCAAGTTTTATACGAATTCTACCCAAATCTACGTGAAGGAAACACTCTGCAAAACTCTAACAACCGAGGCCAGAAGACCATGTGACCGGAAGTTCTGTCCTTTGTGGCATGTTGGCCATTGGTCACCAGTAAGCAATTAATAGATTGATTAAAATCTATACAAAAATTGATATAAAATTCCAAAACTAATCACACACCGTTTTTGTAGTTAAAAAACTTCAGAATCAGGCATAACCTTTATATTATACTTGACAAGAATATTCGTTTTTGCAACATGCTCTTTATCCTGTTTTTTTTTTTCCATCAAAAATGCTATTAATTAGGATTTTAGTTCCAAAAATGTATTTCCATTTATTGATTATGATTTTTAGTGTTCTGTATCGTGTGGTGACGGTGTTCAACGTAGAGGTGTCGTCTGCCAACACTTTGGGAGAGAATTTTGTGATCTAAAAACAAAACCTTTAACAGTTCGGGCTTGTAATACTACGCAATGTATAGTTCAAAGAGGTATGTATCGTATCTAAAATAAAATTAAAAGTTTGCACGACATGCTAGATGTATGGTTATCATTAAACATTGGGTAAATACATTGCTAGAATAAAGAATGTCCAGCTTACAGCTACTGTAATTAAATCTTTAAAAATTCAGAACAATATAAAGTTTCTGTGGAACAATACTTTTATAGTGTATTTACTAGCTCATGTTATGTGATATATCCATGGTACATGTACTAGTTCGCTAATACTTTATACGTAGCCTGCTTTACATTAGAGTTTTTATTGCTTGTTCTTTTAAAGATTCCAGCTATGCAGATTACATGCTTAAAGGTATGACATTAAGATAAAGCAGCATGATAATGCATTTTTGCGTACATCTAACATATCAAGTTTTACATAATTTCAAATGTCAGTTGCAAACATTTCAAACTGCGCTCAACATCTTCATATATAAGGATTAAAGCGACTCCTTAATGCAAATTTTATAATTAAAGGATTTTTAAAAATCAGACAATTAATAAATGTATCTTATTGAATTTGAGTGAAGACAAGGAAATGAAAGTTAAATTAAGAGGAATAATGAATATTTATTAGCAGAAAATTCGCCATAGTGGTATACATAAATGAAATTAATGTGGAATAAATGTCTATAAAATCTAGATATACAAGAGGTGACGATTGGGGAATCGGACAGTAGGTCGATAAAACGAATACCACCCCTCAATATCACAGACAAGGAGCCACGCCCAAGGTTTGTGTGAGAGAGAATACAATACATTTGTAAATGCACCTCGGCGAGTAAAGAAATTACGAACATAATGTAAATATAGGCGGAACTCAATAACGTGAAATAGAATACTACAGGCAAATACATTCTGTGTTTAAAAGCACAATAGTGCTGTAATATTACGCTGCTAATAATTCCTAATACTATTTTAAATCGTTTGGGGTGGGCTAAGTAAATGTACAAGGTCATTTGTATTCAATTACAAATAATGGAGAATTAATTTCTAAAGGTATATGGAGCATAATACAGATTTTATAAAAGAAAATGGACAAGATTTCAATTTCGTGTTGCAATAACTCTATTAAGATTTTAGATATAAATATACCAACAGAGTTGAAATACCTGTTCTTTGACATAAAATGATTAATGTGAATATATTTTATGGCTTTGAACTTAAATAGAGTACCGAAAGCAGGTTGATATATTGGAAACATACATGTATTTATAGAACGAAAAAGCAACTTTAACAAAATATTGGAAAGTTTATATCTTTTAATTCCAACTAGATATGTAACGAGAGAATGGCAGCCCTGCAGCGTCACGTGTGGAAGGGGCCGGAAATGGCGTTACGTAAAATGTCAAGTTTATGTTCCGAACACTGGCGAAATATCAGAACTTCCAGACGAGGAATGTCCTGGTGAATACGCATGTGTTGTTTGTTCAGAATTTCAAAAGATTCTTACGACTTTATTTTCATTTTGCCCTATCCAGGTTATATATAATATTAAATTAAAAAAAAATGTTTTTAAGGATTGAAGCCTCTGGTATCTTCTCCTTGTGTAATAAAGGATTGTGTACAGCAGTTCGAGTACCGCAGTGTTGGTATGACGCCATGTAGCCGCAGTTGTCTCGGGGGTAAGTGTTAGGATCAATACAACAGAAAAGGATGCATCACTGGCACGTAAATATTTGCCTTAAAATATTCTTTTTATACAACGGTAGCTAGTGATGAAGCAACAATTGTATTTACGGCTTTGCTGTTCTTGAGATGAAGAATTTTTAAAAATATATATGTATTTCTACGTAAAACTTTGTCGCCCATTGTGACCCTACCCTATCCCTGAGTTAATGATTTGAACACTTGAATATACTCTACTTCAAGGGGGCTTTTATATAAGATTCGTCTTTTCTGGCCAGATGGTTCTTAAGGACATTCTGCATCATTTTTAAGTTCTAACATTAAATCTGAATTCTACAATGCAAATTTAACTACATTCAATGAAAAAACAGAGATTAAATGCCATTCAAATAGAATTAAGATAGGGACTATATTTTGTGGCGGAAGGTTTTTTAGACGAAAATTATCAGTTTTTCCATTTTGAACTATAACAGTACTGTTAATTTTGGATTCCTATTTTTCCTTCCTGGTTGCACAAAAAGCTGTTTTTTGCAGTTAAATGTGTTATGCTAGTTCTGAAATATCCATTAAATTATTTCTTATGAATTCTATCAACAAAGTGTGACAAATAGACAAATATAGTAAATATATTCTGAGCCAATTTTAACGTAAAATTGACACTTTTTTAGTAATATCTGAAAATTTACATCATATACCCCCGCTTTTGATGCTCTTTTCTAAATATTCAAGATAAATTTGGCCTATTTGCTTAAAATCAGAAAAAGTTTAAGACTTTAAAATAATTTTCTTGCTTATTAAATTTCAATGCCAGAAAAATCACTTTTTATTAGTGCAGAAAGGTCAAATAATTGATTATGCGAAGCAATTTAAAACTTTTTCTTAGTCGCAATTTTTAAGTGTCTTTTTTTAAACAAACTTAGAGTTGATTTTGTTTCATGCTTTAATTGGATAAAAATATTGGAGGGAAAACGTCAAACATATAATTTGTAATTAAGACACAAATTTCAGTGCAAAAAGGTCATATTAAATGTTCTGTAGCGCCAAAAGAAGCGTATTGACCCCCATTTTTTGATTTGAATTTTAATTATAAGCTATATATGTAGAAACTAAAAATATACTCGGCAAAAAAAGTTTAAGACTTAAAATATCAAGATCGAACGTCGTGAAGATATTGTTTAAGTTGGTAGAGCGCTCGCTCTGTGATTGGAAGGTCGTAGGTTCGAACCTCGACAACTACCGACCTAAGTCGATAAACAATAGGCAGCAAGCCAACTTCCTTCGCCAATCGCTCGAGCTCGGCACTATGAAGTAAAAGTTGCGATTTTCGGTTGACATTAAAATCCGGGCGCTGGCACGATAAAGCCTCCTCAATGGTCCTTCGTACCGAGTAAACGTCTACCTTCAATGGGAATATTTCAATGGTCGAAAATATGACATCCCATTTAACAGAACTGTATTTTCTAAAACTTATTTTTAACAACAATTAAGATAATTGGCAAAGGATTATTACATTAAATAGTCAATGCACTACCTGCGCATTTCAGCATTTTTTGCTCTAATTTTGAAAAAAGTTATATAATATGCTTAGAATTATATGTAAAGTTATGTGTATTTTTAAAATTATTGTTGTGTCTTCGTCGCTAGTTAGGTAAGAGTACATTTATAGGCAAACAGTCGTTGTTAAGGTGTTTTACCTAAAAAAAAATAAATTATGTGACGTATCCTTACGAAACTCTACATACTGACTCGTAGTTGAAATAAACATATGTAAGTGGTAAGATCAGTTATTTTTTCCCTTTTTCTTTGTTTAGGATTTAGTATAGAATAATTCTTTACTAACCTTGATGTTCCAGGTGTGCAACAAACAATAGTCCGATGTGTTAATATACGTAACGGCTCCACTGTTAACGATAAATATTGCAGTAATGCAAAATTTGTTCCCATTGAAAGGAGGGTTTGCAATGATATTAACTGTCCACAAAGGTAGCGCTTTCTTCTTTCTTTTGTATGGTATTTTGTCCGAAAACTTCTATCATTTTCCTTTGACAAACAAAATAATGTACGTTGTTAAATTTTAATATAAATTTCAATAAATGCAACTAGAAAATCGTTGGTGCTAAAGATAATTAAAAGATTGTGTTTAGATGGAAAATTGGAGATTTTGGGGTGTGCTCGGTGACCTGTGGCGGTGGAATTATGCACCGTGACGTAGAGTGTATCCAGGAGTTTGCAGCTAGATACAGACACGTGATCCACCTTCCGGATAACATGTGTGAGCAGCCCATTCCAACACGTAATAGAAAGTGCAGTAATATAGACTGTCACTCAGAGTGGATGGCAGGTGCTTGGTCACAGGTAAAACAATCTGAGAAGCTTGTGTTGTTTATGCAATTACAACTTATATTTGGGGATGAATATCGAAGTTTCCGTCATAAATTCTAATAATTTATTAATGTTTTATTTGTTTAAATTATATACTCATCTTTTTTTGTTATTTTAGTGTTCGGTAACTTGTGGTTCTGGATATCAGTCACGTGATGTGTTCTGTATCAAAAAGAATGCTAAAGGGCATTATATCAATATTACATCGGATTTATGTGATTCGAACACGCAGCCAACAGATGTACAGAAATGTAATGAAAGTGTGTGTCCAAAACCAAAACTAAGGTCCCTTGATGTGCAATTCTTTCAGCTTGACAAACTAAAACGAGTAAAACTTACTATTGGAATGTCAGCTGTTATCTTACCAGGAACAACCGTACTAATTAAGTGTCCAACACGGGGAGTACAAGTTCAAGATATCAAGTGGCTTAAAAATGGAACCTTTATAACATATTCTGGAAGAATCAAGTTAACTCGAAAGAGGTTCTTAAAAATCAAAAACGCGATTCCAGAGCTAGATTCTGGTACGTACTCTTGTAAGGCAGGGTCCCTGCAATCGACTTCTAGTGTCACATTTAGTAGTGTGTATGACATAATTAAAGCTACAATGCTGAGAGAGAAATACCTCTCTGGACTTCA